AAAAAAAAAAAAAAAAAGAGAGAGAGTCTGGTAGCCTTCTTATGCGCATAAAAATCTGCATTATTTGCAGCTTCATAGTATTCCTGTGGGTCCCTGCACCTTACCCTGGGTTATTCACCCTGTCTTGTTTCACCAAAATTCATTAGTGGTGTCTGGTCCTTTACATGGATACCTGCAGCTAGCAATCTGTGAGTGGATGTAGCTGTATGTAGGATTCTAGAAATGAATGTGATAATCTCATAGATATTTTCAGATTCCTTTCCATAACCAATAAATAAAAACTGTTCTCCCCCTGAGGGTAGGCTTCTGCTTTACTTTGTTCCTTTTTTATATCCTCAGCTCATAGATAATGGCTAGGTAATTGTTGAATCAATAAATTAATAGTCTACACACTAATAGGAACAATCTAACATGCCTGTCATTTTGTACATCTCATAAAAGTTGTATAAAAACAGTCTTATGTAGGGCCAGAGATTTATCTCAGTGGTTTCGCCACCTGCTGTGCAAGCGCAAGGACCTGAGTTTGACCCCCAGTACCAAAAACAAAACAAAACAAAACAAACCAGTCTTATGTGGAGAGAGGCCAAAAACATTGTTTCATGGGAATTTACATGGGGTTCCCTCTCTCTCTCTCTGTCTGTCTCTCTGCCTCTCTCCCTGTGCCTCTCTCTCTCTCCTTCCCTCTCTCTCTCTCTCTCTCTTTCCTAGTAGGGATTGAACCCAGGCCCTTCTCCTACTGATCTGCATTACTGCATTACCCGCCCATTTTTTATTTGGACAGATGGTCTCTCTGAGTTGTGCACACTAGGCTTGAATTTTGGATCTTCCTGCCTCAGCCTCCCAGAGTGCTGGGATTACAGGGATATACTACCATGACCAGCTTCCAATTCACTTGTGTCCAGTTAGCTGAGTGAACAGCCAATCATTTCAGCCTCAATTTTCTCTTCAAACGAAAACTTATAAAGTCAGTGGCTTTCAAACTTTACAAAAAGTCTATGATTCCCAAAGCATAAATAAAGAGCAAAATAAAAGAAAGATAATAGGAAACAGTGAGCTAGAATTTGTGAACATAGGCATGGGAATTGGGGGAGATGGAAGAAGAGAAGGGGAAGGGAAAAGGATCAACATGCTATATGTTTATGTTCCAATTCCCCAGGATAAATATATTCATTATGTATCACGAGCATATACTAATAAATTTTTTTATTTTATTTTTTCTAATAATCTTTTTTGGGGGGGTACCGGGGATTGAATTCAAGACTTTGTGCTTGGGAGGCAGGTGCAGTGCCACTGAGCTAAATCCCTGGCCTGTCTAATAAATTTTTTAAAAGGAGGGGAGGTACCTTAGTGGTAGAGCACTTACTTACCTAGCATAGGTGAGGCCCTGGGTTTAGTTCTTAGCACTGCAATAAATAATGAATAACTAATATCTTTTTTTTGGTACTAGGGATTGAACTTGGGACCTTGCGCTTGCAAGGCAGGCAGTGAAATCACTGAGCTAGATCCCCAGTCCCCCTTAAATAATAAATAAATGGGAAAAAAAGGTATAATTCTATAACAACCCAGATTAACCTTGGAATTCTACCTCTGTAAAAATTTGTTTTGAGGCTTCTCTTACTGACATAGCATAGGCTCAAGCTCCTCAAAATAAATTTTTTTTGCTATGATTGAACCTAGGGCCTTGTGCATACTAACAAAGTGCTCTACCATTGCTCTAAACCCACTGCCTTGTTTTTTGTGTGGTATTAGGAAGTAAACCCAGGGCCTTTGCCCTGAGCTACATTATCAGCCTTCTTTATGCTAGGCTTCCAGAGAATCTGTGATAACTGACATGTACCACCACAGCTGCCCCAACTTTTGACCCAGAAGGCTGAGGTAGGAGACAAATCCTGTCTCAAAATAAATTTTAAAAATACAAAAAACTCCTGGGAATATAGCTTAGTAGTAAAGCCTATGATGTGGAATAACCTAGGTTCACTGCCTAGCCCTGCAATTGAAACAAAAACCACACGTGACATGAATTTTCTATTCTACTTATATTCAAGTATACAGTTCAATGACATAAAGTAACTATAAACCATGACCACTATTTCCAGAACTTTTTCATCAGTCTCAAGTCTTCTTCAGTGTATGATATGCTATTGATGACACTCATAAATTTTTCATTTCACACAATGTTTTCTTTAATGATCAGTTCTTTCGTTTATTCAAATATTTTACCACTGAGATACAACCAAAGCCCAAGTGTTTTTAATATGAAACATGTCTCATTCATATTTTTCTCTTGAATTTACTAAATATATAAGTATATGATTTTAATTTCATAATTCACTAGTTGTATCATCCATGTCATTTCTGGGTTTTTATTGATGGCCTAATTTCTTCATTATAGTCATATTTTCTTTCCTTCTTTCTATTATTTATTTATTTTGGTACCGGGGATCGAACTTGGGACCTTGCGCTTGTGAGGCAGGTGCCAGAACCACTGAGCTAAATCCCTGGCCCTCCTTTCTTTTTAGTACCTGAGAGGTTCAGATTGGATACCACACATTATGAATTTTACATTACTGGGTTATACATTTGGCAGCATTCCTTTAAATATTTTTGGGCACTTCTAGACATGTGATTAATTTGCCAGGAGCCAATTTGATCCTTTGGAGGTTTGCTTTTCTGCTTTCTTATGTGGTTTCAGAGCAGCCTTTAGTATAGGTCTCATCTGGTCCCACTACTGAGGGGTTCTGAGAGTCATAGGGTCTTTCCACCATGATTGAGGGACACATGAGCTGTCCCCAGTGCAAGGTGAGCCCCAGCAGTGCCCAGCCTGCCCCTCCCTGGTCTCAGCAGCTCTCTCCCACACCGCATGTGCTGGTGGGACTCAGCTGTAGACACAGGTGGACTCTGCTGATTTGCAGAGCTCTGTGCATGCAGCTCTGTCTTGTGCACTCTGCCCTGTGGTTTCTAGCTGCATTGGCCTCCCTGAACACCAGCCTCTCTCCTCAATTGAGGGAGATCCCTGGGCTGTGTTTGCCTTTCTTCTCTCTCTGTGCTAGCCTGGAAACTCGTGAGCTATCTGGGGTGATCCTTGGTTTACTTTGTTTCCCAGCTCTGAGGAATCACTGTCTTGTACTCCCTGTCACACAGTCTGTGAAAACCCTGACTTCATATTTTGTCTGATTTTCTAAGCCATTGCTTAGGACACAATATTATTAAATCTGGTCCTTGGGAAGAAACAACTATGCTTGATTTATATTTTTTCTGTACTGGTTATTGAACCCAGGGCTTTATACAAAGCCCCTTTCTTTCTTTTATCTTTTGCGACTGGGTCTCGCTAAGTTTCCCAGGCTGGACTACAAATCGCAGTCCTCCTCCCTCAGCCTCTCAGAGTGCTAGGAATATAGGCAGAGGTAATTTTTAAATATGTGAATTGCTGGGAATAGGAAGGACTGTATTTCTGTTCCTAGTTCAAGTATGTCTGTACTCATGTTGGATAGGCAGGTGTTCTGATATAAAATGATCACTGGAGGCTCAGGAAACCAAATATTTTGTAAGTGCTGATTTATGACAACAGGTCTCATTTGCATTTTGTATAGTTTGTATGGCTTTGAGGACGAATGGGTTTCACATTGATGTTCTGGTTCCCAGAGGGAGTGTATCTCTATCCACGTGGGGCAGGCAGGTGTCCAGATCGGCAATGCCTGCTGGGAATTGTACTGCCTTGAACATGGAATCCAGCCTGATGGTCAGATGCCTAGTGACAAAACCACTGGTGGTGGGGACGACTCCTTCAACACGTTCTTCAGCGAGACTGGGGCTGGCAAGCACGTGCCCAGAGCAGTGTTTGTGGACCTGGAGCCCACGGTGGTAGGTAGGTGCTCGGGCCCTGGATGGAGGCTTTCCAGGGAGGGTGGGAGAACCTTGCAAAAGCCCCACGTGGTGGTCTCCTTGAATCCCTCAGCAAGAAGCACAGGATTTATAAGCCTGCGCTCATGACACTGTGGGGTGAGAAGCTGAAAGGTTTGTGACTGAAGGTTCTTGACTCTGGGGCTCAGGAAACCTTGACCGACAGGGAAAAGCTGCTTTGCCAGCAGGAGGATGGGCTATGGAGAGAGTCCTTCTGGCTGGCCCTGCCCAGGTCAGGTGGTTTCTGTATAGACCCTGTGTGCAGTGAGCACAGGCCTTGGTTCCCTCCTTAAATGCTGTGGAGGTTCTCATGCTGGTGCACGAGTCTGGACCTGCTCTTAGACATGAAACTAAGAATATTTATTTGGTTCCTCATGATTAGAACCCCAAAGTAATTACAAGAGGTGGAAAAGATGAGGCAGGAGGATGTGAAATTTGACCCCAGCTTGGGGTTTCCAACAACTTAGTGAAATCCTGTCTCAAAACAAACAAACAAATAAAACCTACTGGTGATGTAGTTCAGTGTGAAGACCGTGTATTCAGAACTACCCATGAGAAACAGAGTGACAAGGAGAAGGTGGGAGAGGAAGAGGAGGAGGGAGGCAGGGAGGAAAGAGGGAGGGGGGAGAGGGAAGAGAGTTTTTAGTATCCTTCAAGAGATACAGATGTCACCTTATAGCCTGCAAGACCCAAGCCATTTGGGTGTTGTGATGAGCCTGTCCCAGCAAAATCACACAGTCACACTCACCTGGTGTTTGCAAGGGAGTTTTAGGTTTTATGTTTGGTTACAACACTGGTGATTGAACCCAGGGCCTTTCACTGAGCTACATCCCCAGCCCTTTTTAAAATTTTTGAGACAGGATCTCGCTAACTTGGTACATCACTCAGGCTCGGTTTGTCCTGTGATCCTGCTGCCTCAGCTGCCCACAGTACTTGGATTACAGGAGTGTGGCTCATGACTTCTAAATTATTTTCTTTGACGTAGCTGTAGGTAAGAAAGAGCTAGCCGCCTGTAGAATCACCTGTGTGGGTATGCGAGCGCTTTCTTTCCATCAGTGCAAAATGATCCTGCTGGCATTAATACTGTGAGTTCTTGGAGCCATCAATTGCATTTGTGCTCTGCAGAGACTTTTTTGGGGGGAGGACAGGGTCTCACTTGTTCAAGCTGGCCTTGAACTCAGTATGTAGCCAAGGCTGGCCTCAAATTCTCCATGGTCCTCCTGCCTCAGACTCCCAAGTGCTGCTATTACAGGCCCGCAGCACCACGCCCAGCTCACAGAGACAGTTTGTAATAGTCAAGGCATGAATAGCATGTGCATTTGTAGAGTAGCACCACCTTTGAGTGTGTCCCCTGTGGTGAGTAAAGCAGCCCCGAAAGGCTCACAGCTCACATGGTCTCTTTGTAGATGAAGTGCGCACGGGGACCTACAGGCAGCTCTTCCACCCAGAGCAGCTGATCACAGGGAAGGAAGATGCAGCCAATAATTACGCCAGAGGCCATTACACCATTGGCAAGGAGATCGTGGACCTGGTCCTGGACCGAATCCGCAAACTGGTAAGATCACTGAGACGGCATCATGTGGATATGGCTCCAGATGGGAGGGTAGGGCTTAGGCCAGTGGTAGCGAACCTATGGCACTCGTGCCGCAGCCCAGCTGGCTGTTTATCATTGAAAGCTCTGAAAGGTTTGCCATCACTGCCTTAGGCTATGAAGGGGTCAGACTCTCTGGCAGATCTTAGACAACTGAGTGAGGAGTCCCGACTGAGTCTGCAGAGGTCTTGCTGTGTCGTGCCTGTTGCAGAGCTCCCACAGATCTTCACTGTCTGGCTTTCTTTGCTTGCACATGTAACATGTGTTAGTTATGGATGTTTGAGTCCACATCACCTTGCAGAGGCAGAGAGAAGTGAGCCTGGGCTGTTGGGGTTGGCATTGTGGCCTCCGCAAGCCTTGGCTCATGTTGTCTGGTTTCTCACAGGCAGATCTGTGCACAGGCCTGCAGGGCTTCCTCATCTTCCACAGCTTTGGAGGCGGCACCGGCTCTGGGTTCGCGTCTCTGCTCATGGAGCGGCTCTCGGTGGACTACGGCAAGAAGTCCAAGCTGGAATTTGCCATTTATCCAGCCCCCCAGGTGTCCACTGCTGTCGTGGAGCCCTACAACTCCATCTTGACCACGCACACTACCCTGGAACACTCGGACCGTGCCTTCATGGTTGACAACGAAGCCATCTATGACATCTGTCGGCGCAACCTGGACATCGAGCGCCCCACCTACACCAACCTGAATCGTCTGATTGGGCAGATCGTGTCCTCCATCACGGCCTCCCTGCGCTTCGATGGGGCCCTGAATGTGGACTTGACAGAATTCCAGACCAACCTGGTGCCGTACCCCCGCATCCACTTCCCCCTGGCTACCTATGCGCCTGTCATCTCTGCCGAGAAGGCCTACCACGAGCAGCTGTCAGTGGCCGAGATCACCAATGCCTGCTTCGAGCCAGCCAATCAGATGGTCAAGTGTGATCCCCGCCGTGGCAAGTACATGGCCTGCTGCATGCTCTATAGGGGAGATGTGGTTCCAAAAGATGTCAATGCTGCCATCGCCACCATCAAGACCAAGCGCACCATCCAGTTTGTGGACTGGTGCCCGACTGGCTTTAAGGTAGGACTGGGTGAAGTCTAGTCATTGTGCCTGTCAGCGAACAGCAGACCTGCAGAATCATGCTGTCCCTGAGGGGCCACATCCTTTGGGGAGAATGACACTTCATGTTATCTATGGTGCAAAGAAAATATACGTAGTAATTAATTTGCTAAATCCCTTAAGGTTTCCCATATATGTTATGTATCCCTTTTCCCCTAAACTACCCTTTCAAATTCTAGGGGTAGTGTTATCAGCATCTGAAACTTTAGAAGACTGAGGCTGGTGGTAGAGCACTTGCCTAGCATCGTGTGAGGCCTTGTGGCTTTCTTATGTCATTTTCTATCTGGAATATCCCTGGAATTTGCAAATCCCCATAATCTCTAGAAACTCATCACAGCTTACAAATATTAGGTCCGTAGCTTAGTGTAAGAAGAAAACCATTGCGGACAAGGACTATTAAACCAGGATACAAAGTTGAAGAACACAGGTATGAAGAGCCAGTTAGCCTGGAAATTACAGTAAGTCTTGGAGCCTGACATGATTTGGCTTCCAAATACATGGTGCTTTTCATTTGGTAGATTTGTTTTTGAGATTTGTGTCTCTGGCTGTGTAACCCAGGTTAGGCTTGAACTCACGGATAACCTCCTGCCTCGGCCTAAGTACTGGGATTAGAAACGTGCCCCTCCATGGTCTCTGCACCCTGTGTGGTGGATGGTCCTAATGGCATCTGTTTCAGAAAGGCAGGGAGACATCACTGCCTCAGCTCCTTCCCAGGTGTTGATCTTCCTCCAGCTCCAGCATAATGTTCTCCCCATTGTCTAAGGTTCTAGTTGTTACTGGATGGGTGTATCGGTCAGTGTTTACCTGAGAAACATTTACTGCAAGATATGCAAATATATAATTTACAGATTGGCTCACGATGGCCCGGCCGCCCACAGAGTCAGGTGGAAAGAGTGTAAAGGTCTTTCTGTGCACTAGGGATCCCAAGGATCCAGTGGAAGGCCTGGAGTTCTGTATAGTGTCCCATGCAAGTCCATATCAGTAGGCTGAAAGGCTAAAGGGTCTGCAGCAGAAGCCAGGAGATAACATCCAAAGTGAAAGCCAAGAGTAGAGCTCCTCTGAGGAAGACAGAAACAATCCTTCGGTCTTTATTTCCCTTTTATAACATTTTGATCATAATCCTCCTTATGGTTGGGTGTTCCACACCCAAAGTATGCTGAGCCAATGTAGTTGGGCATTGCTTACTCTAATTGACAGTCAACATCAACAATAGGATTTTTACACAAAAACAAAAAATTGAACTCACTTTTATTTTTGCTAGTTATACAACATATTTTGAACATATTATATATTCCAGGGTTCTCATTTTTTCCTTGTGTTTTACTGTATAGATGTGTAACAATTTAACTGTTTCGCCATTAAACAGCCTTTTCAGGTTTGCTATTATAAAAAGTGATTCTTGTGCTGGGGATTTAGCTCAGTGGTTCCGCTGCCTGCCTTGCAAGCACAAGGTCCGGAGTTCAATCCCCAGTACCAAAAATAAGTGATTCTACTAAGTACATAAAAATCTTTATATGTACTGTTTTGTGCTCTGTGTGGGTGAATTAAAAAGTGAAATTAAGAGTCAAAGGGTATTAAATGTTGATAGATCATGCCAAAAAGTTGTTTGTTTTTTTTGGTTTTGGAGACAGGGTCTCCGTGTAGTTATAAATTACCTTGAACTCACCATGTAGCCTAGGCTGGCCTTGAATTCTGTGATCCTCCTGCCTCAGCCTCCTGAGTGCTAGGATTATAAGCATCCCCTACCATGCCCAGCAGTAACAGTTTTTATAGTGTTTTTTATAGTAGATCTGGGTCCACAGCTCCAATTTTTATTTTTGGGGGTTTTTTTTCAATTTGTGTTTTTTAAATAAATTTTATTTTATCCCATCTCCCCCCTCGAGCCCCTCTCCAATTTGTAAATATACTGTCATTTCTTTTTCTTTTTCCCTGAGACAACGTCTCTATACAGTTCAGGCTACCCTTGAACTCTATGTAGCTCATGATGGCTTGAAACTCTCAGCAGTCCTCCTGCCTGAGCCTCAGCCTCCTGAGTGCTGGGAATACAGGCATGTGCCACTATGCCCAGCTAATAAAGTTGTCATTTCTAAGGTGATTATAATCTTCACTGTATCTTTTCCTCTGGCAGGTGGGCATTAACTACCAGCCCCCCACTGTGGTCCCCGGGGAAGACCTGGCCAAGGTGCAGCAGGCCGTGTGCATGCTGAGCAACACCACTGCCATTGCTGAGGCCTGGGCCCGCCTGGACCACAAGTTCGATCTCATGTATGCCAAGCGGGCCTTTGTGCACTGGTACGTGGGAGAAGGCATGGAGGAAGGGGAGTTCTCTGAGGCCCGGGAGGACCTGGCAGCGCTGGAGAAGGATTACGAAGAGGTGGGTGTGGATTCCGTGGAAGCAGAAGCTGAAGAGGGGAAGAATACTGAATAGGAGCAAGCAGCTGGCAACTCTTCCTTTATTTGCTGCCCATATACACTACATCATTACAGTATGTATTTACTTATTAAAATTCCTTTATTAAAGCATTCATTTTTCATACTGTGTGCTGTACTGTTATACAATTCCCCCATTTAGTCACCTGCCTTTTCCAAGTAGATTTTTAGAAGGGAAAATAGCCATTTAGCTGGGCATGGTGGCATATACTTGTGATTCCACCACCCTGGGAGGCTAAGGTGGGAGAATTACAAGTTGAAGCCCAGGCCATGCAATTTAGTGACTGAGACCCTGTCTCAAAAAGGGCTGGGGGAAAAAAAAAAAAAAAAAAAAGGGCTAGGGGTGTAGCTCAGTGCAAAGGCCCTAAGAAAAATTATCCTAAGAAATTATTCAGTATGTTTGTATCTTTAGATACTGCATTACTCTCAGAAAGACTTCTAAAAGATTAGGTGAAGAAATGAGGAAAAGATGCTTTATGAGGTGTGATCAAAATATAGTTTAAAACTGGGCATCGTGGCACACACCTGTATTTCCAACACTCAGGAGGTTGAGGCAGGAGGACTGCCTGAAATTCAGGGCTAGCCTGAACTACACAGTGAGACCCTACCCCACATATATATATATATATGTATTTTTTTTTTAATTATTGCAGTAAAGGAGCCATTAATAATTCCCCTCAGAATATTCCCCCTAACTTTGAACACAGTTAGCATATCATTCTTCCCACTTTATGAAGCAATTCTGGAACTCCTCGTCTTTATGTGTGATCAAATCATGGTGAATGCTGCTGCCAAAAGCCATTCAACAGAAAGGCAGTTTCATAAAAACATGGCATGTCCTCATCCACCTAACTCACTGGATCTGGCACCACTGGACTTGTGGCTCTTCTCCAAAGTCAAAATGAATGCAAGGTAAACCGTATTTTTGTTTTTGATTTTTTGAGACAGATCCTGGTCAAGGTGATCCTTCTGCTTCAGCCTCCCAAATGCTGGGATTACAGGTGTGGGGACTACTCTTAGCTCTAGGTAAACCATTTTGAATTGATTCAGGACATGGAGGTAGCTGTTAAGACAAGGACTTCCAGAACTGCTTGAGAAGTTGGCAACGGTAAGGTGAGTGTTTGAAGCAAGGGGGAGTATTTTCAGGATTAACAACAGTGTGTCTTCTACTGTAATAAAATTTTTAAAATTTAAACATTTATAGTATTTTTCAGTCACATCTTTTAATTTCAGTATTAAGTCCTCTGGGCCATACCTGACTGGTACCGAAATGTGATTTGTTTCCTGTTTAAATTGTGTGATGTTAGGATGAACACACTACCTTGAGTGTGTTAGGCTGGGTTTATTTTGCTTTGTTCTGTTTTTTTTTTTTTTGGTACCGGGGATTGAATTTGGGACCTTGCAAGCCAGGCGGGGGAGCCACTGAGCTAAACCTCCGGCCCAAACTGGGATTATATGGCTGTTTTCACCAGAGGGGGAAGAGGGTGGGTGCGCTCCCCCTTCATCTGTATGCAAGAGTTGTGCAAACCCAGTTCCTGACACTCCATTTTCACGGACATCCTTAATTTGCTTCCACTGTTAACAAATTCCTGCAGTTACAAAAGAACCTCTTGGACATCACAAGTGTAGTAGGAGACTGCTGACTGGTCTGATAGGAAGAGAAGGGTTTTTTTCGTTTTTCCTGGTACAGAGGATTGAACCCATGAGCGCTCTACCACTGAGGTACATCTGCAGCCCTTATTTTATGAGACAAGGTGTCAACTAAATTGCCCGGGTTGGCCTCGACCGTGACGATCCTCATGCCTTCACCTCTGGAGTAGCTGGGATTACAGGTGTGCGCCTCACCCTCTAGCTCGGAGGAAATTCTGAGCGCAGGTTTTTGCTAGATTCTTTTTTTTACAAAAGTCCTTACCCCGTTTTCTTGGCGGCACTGTTTCTTCGGTCGAAGGCCCTCCCAGAGCCGGGTGTCGATTTGAGACACCAGGGGCACCATCATGGACCCCCACGTCCCGTTGAGGCTGCTCCAGGCGTACTGGAACATTTAGGAAGAATGAGCCTTTGACAAATTAGTCTTGAAAAGTGGAGGAACCCACACAGACCACAGCCAGAGAACTCCAAAGTGCTGGCTAGACAGAGAAGCACTACGCACCCACCGCTTCCGGTAGCAACCAACTAGGCCCTCTTCCGTTCCCGCCTCCTGGGCAGAGCGCCGCAGGTTCGCGTCTCTATAGTACCAACTTCCGCCGCGCTCCACCCCTCGCGAGATTTCAGCGGCGCAGCAATGGCGAGACCGTGAGTGCCGATGGCGGGAGTTAAAAGAACGGGCTGGGAGGGGGTTGGGTTGAGATCAGGTCACGGGTGATCCTACGGGCCAAGGGCCCCGGGAGGGAGTAACAGCTGAAGGCAAGAGGCCACTCTGGGCCGGGACAGCTGCCCGCGACCTACCCTCCCGCTCCTTCCTCAGATGCCGCGTCACTGCTCCGCCGCCGGCTGCTGCACACGAGATACGCGGGAGACGCGCAACCGGGGCATTTCCTTCCACAGGTCAGCGCGCGTGCGTGCTGGTTCGCGAGGCTCCCTTGCGCATGCGCTAGTGTTGCCCGCGGCTTTGGGCCGCGCCTTTGGTTTTGCTGCCCGCGGTAGTCAGCCAAACTATCCTTGAACTTGAAATTGGGAGGGTGAACGAGACGGTCCCGTTGGGACTAAATTCTGTCCAGAAAAGGAGGATCGGACGCCTACCAGGCTTAGAGTTGCTGCTCTCACATTTTTATGTGCTTTATAACGCTGCTTTCTCTAGGCCTGAGATTCTTCCCCTGTGTCTAGGCGAGTGGAGCATAACAGGCAGGGTCGCAGGGAGGTCTCCTTCAGGCGTGTGCCAGCCTGGCTTTTCTTGCCTAGGGAGCTTGGGCAGCATGATCCCAGGGCTGTGGCAGCCTGGTGCTCACGGGTTTGTGGCTCTACAGACTTCCCAAGAAGGACAACCCGAGGCGCGGCTTATGGCTGGCCAATTGTCAACGGCTGGACCCCAGCGGCCAGGGCCTGTGGGACCCGGCCTCTGAGTACATCTACTTCTGCTCCAAACACTTCGAAGAGAACTGCTTTGAGCTGGTGGGAATCAGGTGGGCCTCCTTGCTGGCCAGCATTGGGGCAGGGCGTGGGGCATCACTCCAGGCAGCAGATTGGGGCAGCTGTACCTCCTGATGAGGACGTCCTTGAGCAGATGGCATGAGAATAGTCTGCCCGACAGACAGCCAAACCTGGTTCCAAGGGTGCTGTTTTCTTTTTCCCAGTTCTGTACAATAAAACCCATTCCCAGGTTAACTGCCGGTTGCACAAGAAAAACTAGTGTTTCCAGGGGGGTGTTCGGTACTAGTTGTCCCAGTAAGCTTATTCTTTTGCCTTGTCAGCCCAGCCCTGCTGGGGGAGCTTTTCTATGCACCTCAACTTTGGGGAGGCCTTCAGGGAGAAGCTTAGTGGACTAACTTGGCATTCTCCAGACTTGTTTGCAGTTTTGCCTTCTAGCTTCCCACAGCCCTAGTACTGGGGAACCCATGCTGGGTTGCCAACGGCAGAGTGGCCCAGGGTGGCAGCAATTGTTCTCCATCTCATCCAGGCTGCTTTTCCCCACAGTGGGTATCACAGGCTGAAGGAAGGGGCAGTGCCTACCATATTTGAGTCTTTCTCCAAGTTACGCCGGACAACCAAGACCAAGGGGCACAGTTATCCACCTGGTCCCCATGATGTCAGCCGGCTCCGGCGATGCAGGAAGCGGTATGTGTTGTGGGTGGAGGGGTGCCCCACTCCCATTCCAAGGCTGAGGGACTGGGGTTTAGGGTGTCTGCCAGCAGCCTTGCTGGATGGGGTTCTTAGTGTACAGACCCTGTGGCAGGGGCTCAGATGTTGACGAAATCAGCTGGGCTCATGAAGTGAGTCTAGTGCTTAAGACTGGCCTGTCAGTCTCTTTCCCTCTTCCCTCCAGTTGCTCTGAAGGCCAAGGGCCAACAACTCCATTTTCTCCACCTCCTCCTGCTGATGTCACCTGCTTTCCTGTGGAAGAGGCCTCAGCACCTGCCACTTTGCCTGCCTCCCCAGCTGGGAGGCTGGAGCCTAGCCTTAGCAGCCCCTTCTCAGACCTTCTGGGCTCCCTAGGTGCCCAAGCAGATGAAGCAGGTTGTAGTACCCAGCCCTCACCCGAGCGGCAGCCCTCCCCTCTTGAGCCACGGCCTGTCTCCCCCTCAGCCTACATGTTGCGCCTGCCACCACCTGCTGGAGCCTACATCCAGAATGAACACAGCTACCAGGTGGGTAGTGCCCTGCTGTGGAAGCGGAGGGCTGAAGCGGCCCTCGATGCCCTGGACAAGGCCCAGCGCCAGCTGCAGGCATGCAAACGGCGAGAACAGCGCCTGCGGCTGCGGCTGACCAAGCTGCAGCAGGAGCGGGCACGAGAGAAGCGGGCACAGGCCGATGCCCGACAGACTCTAAAGGAGCATGTACAAGACTTCGCCATGCAACTGAGCAACAGCATGGCCTGAGGGAGGGACCACCTATCAAGGCTGTGACCTCTTCCTCACAATCCACCTGGTGAGGGACCTGATCTGAACTGCATCTAGCACACCCACCAGATGCCATAATAAAGGATTCTAGAAGGACACCCTGCTGTCTGGCTCAGCGAGGGATGCCAGGCTTGTCCCCCCCAAAAAACAATGGCTGCAGCCCCTACAGAGGTGAGACCTTGAAGTCTATAAACTCAGCTGAAGAGCCAAGAGCCTACTTCTTAGCCACCTCTCAGTGCTGCACAGACAGCCACCCCTTCTGTGTGCAGCTCTGGGTCCCACAGGGTTCTCATGGGATAGAATGGTAGGAACCAGGAGACAATGCTAGGAGCCCTGTCCCTGGCTCCTGCAACAGGCTTAATTTAAGCCTTCTGAGGCCACTCATAAAATCCATTCCAGACTTTTTATGCAGAGGCACAGGTTCCATCTTCCTGGCAGGCCAACCCCCTCCCTGTACCACTCATGATTGGACCTGTCAGGAAAAGGGACAATAATGAGTCATCAACCTTCTGGGGATGCTATGCTCAGCAGGTGGTAATGTCACCAAGAAAAATTTTAGTTCCTAGAAGTATGGGAACAGGTGGGTAAGTCCTGGAGACAGGAATGAAGGGCCTGGCCTCAGTGTTTTTTTTGTTTTGTTTTGTTCAATTTATGGGAACCTAGAAGACTTCACAGTGGATGTGACCAAAGTAAATAGCTGGGTTCAAACACCCCATTCTGGTCCCTGGCCACACAGCCGAAGGAGCACTACTGATCTAGTCCCAGAATTTAGAAGTGTTCTCAAATTTGGTTTTTAGGGCCTTTGGTGTGTGAGAATTTATTTATATCATGTCCAAAAGAGATCGTAGAGAAGCTAGTGATGAGGGTCAGCAGAGAGCAGGGTTTGCAGATTGTTCCTGAGGCTTCCAAGCTGGTCCCTCCAGGAGAGTTGTTTAGATGATGTTACTATCCAGGATATCTGGGTGGGTGATTGTGTGATAACACTGTGGAAATCACACCCTGGCTGCTCACCCTATTGTGGCACATCTCCAATCCCACAGCCCCTTTCCAGTAACCATAGCTGCCTGCTTCCTCACAGGGACTGTCCCTCAGTGCAGCTCCTGTTCCACATCTCCCTCACTTTACAGCTCATCTTTTCACCAGACTGCTTGCTAGACGGCTGGGTGGCCCGGCCTGCCTAATGGATCTGCTACCTTTGGCTAAAGGTACCCAGCCTGTCACCCATGGCTCCCCAGCTACTTGTGTGCAGCTACCTTAGGGCCCACACTGCAGTCATGGTAGGGTCATATTTGCATGAAGCAGAAGCAGGAAGGAAAAGTGCCCTAAGGCCCGGAAAAGAGCCAGTAATTTCCCCAAGGTGAGCTCTGGTTTCCTGGCAAACAGGACAAAATGAGTTCTTCCTGTTCTCAGAAAGAACTATGCCTCCCATATCAATATAGATTCACACAGGGCCTAACCTAGGGTGATGGGAGGAGGCTTTGGGCTGTCATCTCCAGTGTAGGCAGCAGAGCAAACCCTTTCTCAGGACCTAACAGATGCACAGGAGTGGGGCAGGGCAGATACTACTCCAGGGCTCTCGAGGGTTCAGCCTGGATATTTCCCATATGCCCTCCCCTTTGTTACTACGTGGCAACAGGCATCAGGAATTATGGACAGCATGGATGGGATTGGCTGATCCATGTTCAGGGTCTACCGGACCATTGGGGTGCACAGCTGGTCCTCCACTGCAGGCAGGCAGACAGGCTCAGGGCCAGAGGGGAGTAGTGGAGACTATGCCAGTGAGGCATATAGGTAGCATTGCTGTGGCTTTAATGGAGGCATATCTATGACAGTGAATACTTGGGCCTCTCTGCTGACTTCTGTCTGCTCCAGATATGCATGTGAGTGGGCTGGGAGCCTGCAGTCCCTCTGGAAGTCAGGTGTAACCAACCTAGGCACAGCCCAGCATGACTGCCCTGTGTGCTGGGCGTAGACCTCAGGGCTCATCGCTCCAGAATTCATCTTCAGGGCAGACCAGATGTACACCACTAGTCCCCGTTCACAAGCTCCTGCTGGGAGGACGGGCCCATAACAGACTTTGGAGACAGGGTGGGGTTAGGGTGCAGCCTAGATGGACTGCCAAGTGCCACAATAACTGCCACGCCCCTTCCCCACAAAGCACCCAGACCCCAGGAGCAAGACTGAACTTCCTAAAGCCACTTCTGGATGGTGGTCAGGGTATGTCTCCTGTGATGTCCTAGTCACTGACCCCTGGCTTCCTCACCAGGAAGAGAAGAGAGGTGGCTTTACTCTCCACCCCGTGTCCTCAATGAAATGAGGTGCTTGGTCCCCACACTCCCCCAGTTCCCTTCAGAGGCTCTGAGTACCCTCGCCTTTGGGCTCCACAGGTGTGACCACTATTGGCAGGGTCATGGATAGGGCAGTCTTTGCAGTGGGCCAAGCAGACAGGCAGCAGCATTCTCCATGGAGGAGGCCCTCAGATGTCAGCGCCCAGCTCTGCACACTGCTTGTCAGAGATGTGGGAGGCCAAGGAGTCTATGATGTCCAGCAGCAACTGCTGGCTCAGCAACCGGAGTGTGGGCAGCTTGGAAACCTGCACAATAAACAAGATTCACATAAGAGCCACGGTGGGCTGCTGAGTCCTCTGGAAGCCCAACCTGGACAGGACTCATACTGTCTCTGCAGATGAAGGTGAGCAAGGACCAGTGGATGGGAGGCTTAGCTTGGCCCAGCCCAGGACCTCTGACTCCCATCCTCCCACAGTTCCTGACAGGGAGAGCTGGGGCCATGAGCAATAGGGGTGGGTGGCCTGACCTTGGTAAACTGGTGCACAATGATGTGCAGGCAGTGTCGCTTCATGTCCAGTGCCTGTGTCTTGTCGGCCGCCTCCAGAATCTGAAATGGCAGGGACTTTGAGGCACCCTGACCCACCCTCAGCAGAGGGAGCCATGACCCGCCGGTACCACAAGCACTACCTGCAACACGTTCTGCACGGTCACGTTCATCTCCAGGTTCTGCTTGCAGTACGCCTGCAGCCGGTTGTTGTAGAAGCCATAGTAGTAGGGGGCCGCGAATAGGTAGCTAAGGGTTAGTTAAGGAGCAGATGGCCAAAGGAACCCTGATTTCCCCTTCTAGCTGCCCCTTCCCCAGCCTGCCCCTGAGAGTTGCCAGGGACCCATGCCCAGACACTGGATGTTCTGAAGCACCTAGGGGCAGAAAAGCTCCATTCAAAATCCAAAGAAAATCACAAATCCCGTCATTCCCATAGTACAGCCGAAGAATTTCTCCATGGCACCTCACAGTCAAACTCTGCTGAAGTGAAGTACAAGGAATAACTCCACATCTGCTCTCCTGTCACTTAGAGAAATGACTGACCCCATTATTCTGTAGCTATGAGGGTCAAGAACTCACCTATTCCTTCTGGCTGCTGACCTATCTCTGCCAGCTGCCCACATGCTTTAGAGCCTTTGGAGAACACCAGACACAGTACTGGGCACTGGGAAATTCTCCAGAATTTGGCCAAGACCACAGGCCAAAATAGGGCAGCCAAGCACCAAGCCCATCTTGAGGGAGAGACTGCAACCCCTCAATGGTGACCCAGAAGTGATGCTGGCCCAGGGGCCTTTATTCACTGCAGAGGATGGTCCTCCTCTGTCTTTAGCTGAGTGGCAGAGAGTCTGCAGTTGGCAGAGTCTGGGACCAGATTAGCCACCCTTACGGTACGAGGATACAGGGAGTCCTCGGGGGGCATGTTGACCTCGCCATAGTAGATGTAGCGCAGCATGGACTGGAAAGCCTGCCTGCTGGGGACCATCTCCCCAATGGAGATGTTTACCTGCCCATCCTCAGGCATGAAGGACCGGAACATGGCTTCAAAGTAGCTGTAGACAGAGTGGCAGACAGCCAGTTCTGAGCAGAAGGAAGCCACCATGTGAGCCCTGCCCCCCAACACACATAGGTCCTCAACCCACCTAGAGCGGGCAGCCAGGATAGCCTTGTGGGCTGGCCGTGGGTGCCCATCCAGCAGCAGTGTGATGTCACAGAACTCTGCACCTGCACCTTCCAGGTATGCCTTCATATCCTGGATCAGAGATGTGCCTGGGGGTGTGGAGGGACCCTGAGCAAGTGCTTCCCACATTCCCCAGCAGACCCTGAGCAAAGGGGCTGCTTTGTGGCCTTGAGACCCCACAGGCACTGCCCTCTCTGCACCTCTGCCCACGTCACTGCCCTACAAGGGTTCCCTGGGATAGTGGTGCCACCAGTCTGTTTTCTCCCTTCAGCACCCCAGGCCAACTGGAGCACCACAGTCCCTACATGGCCCTCAGGACTGCTGGCCCCAATGTCTGCTCTTCCACCCACTGCCCTCCTAGCCTCCATGCTAGGGTTCCCTGTGAACCCACTGTGTGGCCTGTGGTGTCTCCAGATGTCACAAAATGGGGTCATCACAGGCCCCAAGGAGAGTTGGGTGAATGAAAGAGCCTATGGTGTCCTTTCCAAACAGGACAAGAAGGCACCAGAAGATAGGACATCCTCACTGTCCCTGAGAAGCTCAGCAGCTTATCCTTGATTCTGAACCATCAGATCTGATGCCCAGCCAGAAAGAGATGCCCATGTCCATCCTCAGAAATGGGCTCAGGGGATCCAAGCTCCTCACAGCCTGCTGTGGAAAGTTCTGTGGGTTGGGGGTCCTTGAGGAAGTCTACCTGCCTCTACCCATTCCTGCCAGGACCACACAGGCCACAGGGCAACCCCTGCCCCAAAGCCCTGGCTAATCCTCCATGGCTCCCAAGACTCCTACCATGATGAACACCATCCCTTCCACCCCCAGGGCAGAGGAACAGGAGTTTCCTACCAATGTCCACAGGCTGGTCCGAGGGGGTACGAGGGGGTGGCTGCTGCTTCCGCCGCACAATCTCCACAATCAGTGGGGATGAGAGGCGCTCAAACTCCTTCATCATGATCACCTGGTTGAAGTGGGACTCCTTCACCACGAAGTTCAGGCAGTGTTCCTGGGACAGACAGGCCCGGGCAGGCAAGCAGGATCAGGCCACAACCAGGGATGAGCAAGGAGGGGCTTGCCAGGGGAGCAGAGTGGGCACCCAGCCTGAGCATGCCCCACCCCACCCAAGAGGGCCCAAGCTGTCAGGTGCTCCCAGCTGCAGTGCCAACCCTGGCCCGCACCTTGAGCTGGCCTAGCTGCAGCCTGGCGGCACTCTCGCACACAACTAGCACATTCTGCAGGTCCACAGAGGCCTCGATATACTGCCGACACAGCTGCTCCAAGCGGCACATCTGGAAGCTCAGCGCCAGCTTGTACACATCCATGATGAGCAGCACATCCTCCACGTGGCCTGCACCCAAGAGGCCCTGAGCCTCAGGGACCCAGGAGGGAAGGGCCTGGAGCGGGGCCCAGGACTTCCTCTATAGATGGGTATGGGTCTGGACCATATGGTGGCTGTGATCACAGGTGATCAAGGGCCTCTGAGCCTCAGAATCCCTGTCTGTAAGGCAGGCCTAGCCACATCCACCTCTTGGCCCTGCTGCTCACCCCGGCCCTGTTCCTATGTACCCACACCCCAGGCACACCTTTCCGAGGGTACTTAATCTTGTCGGTGTAGAGGAACTGCATGAGCACCTCAAAGGGCCTGGCCTCAGCCTCTCGAATGGACACGTGCAGCAGGGGTGGCCTTGTCCCACTCACAGCTCCACCAGAGGCTTCCCTGGGAGCTGGGGCTGCGTCTTCCTCCAGCTTCTGTGGGGAGAAGAAGAGAGCTCAAAGGCACCCCAAAGGACAATGGACACAGCTGCCCAGTCTGGGGACCTTACCTGGGCCAGCCGCTCCCGTGCCTGCACGATCTTCCTGCGGAGCCAGCGGCTCCGTGCAGTGACAATGGCCACGTGGCCCTGAACACACTCCTCCTTCTGCACAAAGAACAATATGTGGGTAAAGGGCACTAGCCCCTTGCCCAAAGGGACAGAGGCCAGGTAGCCAGGGCATAACCTTTGAGGGCAGGCACAGCAAGTGGGGATGGGCATGAGGAAGGCCACTCACCTCACCCAGTACAAACTCTACATCACAGAACTGGCGGCTCTCCCACAGCCGCCCATAGTCCTCATGTAGTGTGCACTTGGGGTAACAGGAGAACTGTGAGGGAAACTCTAGTGTCACATGCAGGCCAGTCCTGGCTGAGAAGCAGCAGCCACCTTCCAGCCCACAGGCACGGCCTGCTCTGGGCCTTGATGGCTGTACCCACCCACCAGCTCACACTAGCTGGGGACTCTCACTGCTACTCTTGCCTTCAGTTGGACTTTCATGCTTTGGTGGAGCTGTGATGTCTCCATTCTATACCTGGACCCAGGTACTCCTACTGGTTCTACCAGGACATCCCCGTGTCTTCCAAGGAATTGACCCTGACTCACTGTCCCCATGGGCCCCTGACTGACCACTTGCTCCTCCAGGCCTGGAAAGGAGCTGCCAAGGGAAGCCACTGTTACATCTGACCTGGCTCACTCCACCAACTCTGCTGTGAGACCCCATGCCTCCCTACTCTGCACTGAGGGTCCCCAACTCCTAAGTGTCAGCTCAGCCTGCCCTCAACCTTATCTCCCACCAAACTTCCCAGGAAGTTTCCATCCCAACAGGCTCACCAACAAGCACCCTTGGACAAGCCTACCACCACAGAGTGGGCCTCAGTTCCTTATCACTGGGGCCAATGAGCTGCACACCTGGAACCTGTACATCTCCCCACTTCGGATGTTGTTGTCCACGGTACCCCCGAAGATGTACATGGCATCAGAGATGACAGCAGCCGCGTGGAAGAGCCTCCCGCTGGGCAGCTGGGGAAGGTGACAAGTAGGCAGGGCAGATGGGGTGGGGCAAGGTCTCCCACAGTAAAGCTGCCCATGGCCAGGCTGTGGATAAGGACATGACTCCAGATGGCCATGGAGGGACCACAGAACCCAGTCCCTGAGGGGAGAGGGTTTTTTGGGTGCAGCCAGACACAGTTGGAGCCAGGCCCACATGAGTGAGTGCAGCAGGGTGTGAGCTCTGGGGCCTGTGTCTCCTTTGCTAGATGACCATGAGCAAGCACTTTTTGGGGCCTCGTTATCCCCATCTGTGAAAGGGGTTGATCATGGGCCTTCCTGCAAGGGGTGGCTGTGGGATGCTTCACAGGGTAATGAAGCCTTAATGAGGGCCCCTGGCCCTTACCTCTGAGGCCGGCTGGGTGGGCTGCTTGGCTGAGGTGGTACCAAAGTCCAGGCCAAATACATCTCGGGACTTCTTGAAGCCAGCCCGCTCCTCAGAGGTCAGACTGGGTGCCTCCTCAGAAGTGGAAGCTCGCTCAGGCACTTCAGCCCCACTGATCTGGTGGGGAGAGATGTGCAGGAGTATGACCAGTAAGCAAGGGTTGGGCAGGCTGAGAGGCCATTGTCCCTGCCAGAGAGTGCTGTGTGTTGAGGAGGAGGGAAGACCTACAGAACTAGACCTGTTGGGGGGAGCCTGGCCAGAGACCTCAGAGGGCTTCCCAGGAGATTTGCAGGACAATGGGCACAGTAGATAGGATGGGTGAGGATCACTGAAAACCTGCAGGCTATAGGAAGAAAGGTCTAGAGGGTTGGGGGCCTGGGAATCCAGGGCTGGGAGCCTACGCATCCTGGCCTTGCTCCTCTTGGCTGTTTGGAGCCCTGGAAGGCCCTGAAGCTGTGAGAGCAGGTGGGAGCCATTGGCATGCAGCTGGTGAATTAAGAGTCCCCTGGGATTTCCACCCCATGACCTGGCAACACTCACCTCACTGTCAGAGCTTGGCTGGACAACCTCCCAGGTCTGGAAGTCCACATCATAGCAATGCAGCTCATTGGGCAATGTGTTGTCAGCTGCACCCCCGAACACATAGAGGTGGCGGTCAAAGGCCACCATGGTGTGCCCATAGCGCCGCTGGGGGGGTGGCGGGGAGCCCCGGAGCAAATGCTCAGTGGGGATGCGTGTCCACCTGGGGACACATGATAGTGAACTAGAGCTAGGGTGAGGGCAGTGGTCTCCACACAACAGGTCTCCCTGTGAAGTCCCCTTGTGACCCTCTGGTAACCAGACGAGGGTCCAAAGGAAGTGCTGGCATATATGTGCCCATGTCCCTTGACAAGTTTAGCTGTGCCACTAGCCATGCCTGGCTCCATGCAGTCCACCAGGGGGTCCAGCCCCAGCCCTACTATTCACCCAGACAGCACTGACAGGGTGGGAAGGGTAGATCTGGCCTCTGGGCAATCCACTTTCTCTGGGGAAATGGAGTTGTGCAGACATACACAGGGGACTGCAGGTTGCTGTATTTATGCCACCCAGGCAGCTGAGATCCCACCTGGAAACTGCCTGGGCCCCAAACTCTGATGCTGCTCCTACAGCACCTTCCACCTTCCACCCTCCAAGGGCTTCCCAGCACCTTCCAGCAAATCTCCTCTCTTATCAAGTTAGTTGCAGAACCAAAACAGATCCTTGCTATACCATCTGTTTATCACCCAAGAAGGCTCCCTCTGCCCAGGTTGATTGGTCCTTCTCCACATGGATCCCTGACCTGTAGGGATGCATGAGCCCCCTCCATAGCCCTTTTCCCTCTTCTGCGTTCACTCCCAGGATCAGAGGCCAGCCCAAGTACAGGGGTTAAATGCAGCCAGCAGCCAAGACTGGAGAGGGCTTGTGTACCTCTCATCTTCTGCTATCATGAGATCTGTACCGGCCATATTTGCTATGGGTGGCACTCATCAAGACTGTCCTGCACCCTCAGAAAGAAGGCCAACTGGGGACCCTGACCAGGGCCATCTTTGCTGAGCTGCAGCCATACCCTGCTCAAGGATGGATGTTCTTGCTTTGTGTAAGAGCTTAGAAAGATGGGCTGCCATGGCTGCCAGACACAAACATGGGCATTCACTGTGCCCCTCCCTGGCCAGGGCACTCACGTCTTGTCCTTGAACTCAAACTGGAAGAGATTGTTGGTTATCTTGGCTCCACTCTGCCCTGAGAACACAAACATCTTGTCCCGGCACACAGCCACAGGGAAGTTGCAGCAAGACGGTGGGATCTCACCACTCTGGGCCACCTGGGGTGGTGGTGGAAGCAGCTCAGTCCAGGGCTCTTACAGGACCTCTGTGTGTGTGTGTGTGTGTGTGTGTGTGTGTGTGTGCGCGCGCGCGCGTGTGTGTGTGTGCGCATGCGCTTTCTGGGGATTGAATCCAGGGGCTTCACAATGAGATACATGCTGAACCTTTTTATTTTTTGAGACAGGGTCTCACTAAGTTGCTATGTTTCCCTCGTTGGGCTCCAACTTGTGTTCCTCTTGTCTCAGTCTCCCAGAGTGCTGGGATTACAGGCATGTACTACCATGCCCAGATGGACTCACATTTCTATACACTCAGAGAAGGAATTTTTATTCTTGAAATCTCTTTTGTGAATGAGGGTTCATAGAATAATTTTTTTGGCAAACAGTTTATAGCCCTATCTCACCCACTTATGTGGGTTCACTTTTGACTAGCTGGGGTCAAAATCATGAGGGTTAAATTATCAGGGACTGCCAGGTATAGTGGTGCATGCCTGTAATCTCAGCACTTGGGAGGCTGAGGCATGAGAACTCCCATGTTTGAGGCCAGCCTGTGCTACATAGTTCATTTAAGGCCAGCCTAACTATGTAGTAAGACCCTGTCACAATCAATCAATCAATCAATAATCAGGGCCTAATCATACATTTCTACAAGAGTAGCAAATTCCAGAAGTAGGACATTGGACAGCAGGTGGCCCTTGATATGTTTAAATAAGGGTAGATTTGACCAAAAGCATATTAGTCCCATGCAGCACTCTGGCCATCCAGGGACCGGTTTGTGTGTGTATATTTGTGTGCACATGCAGATGTACACAGGGCACGCAGTGCTAGGGTGGAACCCAGGGCTTTGCACTTGGGCAAGTGCTCCACCGTTGACTTGCATGCACCTGCAGCCCCAGGGCTTGGAATCTTTAGTCACTGTGCAAACACTGCTAGAACTGGTTGTGGGCTGGGCGGAGAGGAGAGTGAGGCTAAGCTTTGGTGAAGGAAAGACAGAAGACTCTGCCACCACCCTCCCCTGCCTGTTGGCGCCCCTCCCCCAGCACCCCAGTTTCCTGTGACCCTCACCTCTTCCCAGCATGTGAGCTCCCGGTCCTGGAGGCCAATCGTCCACATGTCATTCAACCTACATTAGGACAGAGGGGTCAGGATGCTTTGGGTCTGGCTGTGAGGGTGGGCCTGGACTGGACCTGGCTAGGGCAGATGTCTCCAGGGAAGAACTATCTGCCATGTGAGTTAGGCAACTATTGTGCAGCCATGAGGTCTCAGTGCACCAATGCCAGCTATGCCAGTCCCTAGCCAGCCCAGACAGGAACCAGTAGCCTCATGCACAATATCTGAGGCAAAGGGGCAGGGCGAGCTCCTTACTGAGCTGTCCCCCAGGATGGGAGGGACCATGGATATTATAGAAACTATTACTACTATGTTACTAGGAGTTTCTGTGATGCTAAAATTGAACTAACCACATGCTACTTTTGTAATCAGAAAATACAGAGAGATTAATTTTCTAAAATAAGGAAAAAATACCTGTGACACAGGAAGAAAGCCAGGGCTAGGTCTGAGCCTGGATGCTGCCCCCTTCCCACTCTCTGGGCCCTTCAGCATCCCTCTTCCCTGTGGTTCCAAGTATTTCCATCTCAGTAATTCAAGGGGCTATAGGAGTGGCTGGGGGATCCACTCAGAGAGAGATCCACTCACCTCCATATGCCCAAATTCAGCAGTGCATCAAAATCCACCAGGCCAGACTTTTGCAGCCTGAGCCCTCAAATGCCAGGAAAGCTTGCTCTGTACTCAAGTACATTCAGAGGTGAGGTGCATAGGCTGGGTCACCACCTACCTTGCATTGCCATCATACCCAGCAAAGATCCATAGCTTGTCACTGTATACTGTGGCCCCATGGGCTGACCTGGCAACTGGTAAGCTAGAGTACAAAGGAAGAAACGAGGAGAGAGGTTACCCAGGTCAGGTGGGAGCTCAGAGCCTCACATGGTGGGATAGATTCCACAACTGGGGTACTTGGGCCACATCTACCTCACACTGGGGCTCTAAGAGCCACTGCTGGTGCACCAGGAACAAGCAGTGGCACCAGAGGCAGTTTGTGAGCTCTGGAATGTAGCTGGATAAAAAATTCAGATGTAGGCATGGTGGTACATGCTATAACCCCAGCACTCTGGGAGGCTGAGGCAGGAAGATAGCAAGTTAGAGTGTAGCTTGAGCAACTTAGTGACTTAGAAAGATCCTGTCTGAAAATAAAATAAACAAACAAATAAATACATACATACATAAAATGGCTGGAGATGTGGCTCAGTGTAAAACCACTGGGCTCAATTCTTTGTCCTCAAAAATCCAAAAGGAAAAACAAAACAAAACAAGGAAATTCAAATGTAAGGCTGGCAATAAAGTTCCGTGGTAGTGTTTGCCTAACATGTCCAAGGCTCTGGGTTCAACCCCTACCCCATCAAAAAAGAAATTCTGATGTCCACACAAGCACAGCATCCTTTCCCAGCTGCCACCAAAATATCCAAGAAGGTGCTCACAAAGCAGCATGTCCAGGTCTCTTCTGAAAAACGGGAATCTAGAGCTGGGAGCAGGCTGGGAGCAACTGGGAGTCAGTACCCACTCCTGGCTCCCCACTTGCTGACTGCTTCAGGCCTCTCCCAGCCTCAGGCCAGCTGCCACTCAGACCCCTCTTGGCCCCACAGGTCTCAGCAAAGTCTCTCACCGTCCTTCAATTTTCCACTCTGTCCACTGGCCAGTTGCAAACTTGTATTCAAACAGGTCATTTTTATTCTTCAAGTTAGAATTGGAATAAATGTCTCCAGTGTAGCCCCCTGAGTAAAGAGAGAGTAAAAGTGTCACACCCACGGCATTGCTGAAGCCTTCACAGCCTGGGAGCTGAGGCACAATCTCGCCCCATTTAAACATACAAACCAAGGCTCCATCTGTAAACCTCTGAGGCACCAACTCCTTGTGGTCTCTGTGCAGGGCTCCAGGGACACAGTGAGCAGGACAGATTCCGCCCCAGCTGTCACAAGCAGACAAACCAACCCTGAGAGCTTAGGGAAGTTAGGGAAAGGGGTCCCTCACTCAATCCAGGAACTCAGGCCTGTCCAATGGACAGAGGTGAGGGGCAGGACAGAGCTCCTGACAGGCACAAGATATGAGAAGACCCATGATGGGAGGAGGCTGTGGGAAGTCAGGGCATCCATGGTCCCAAGAGGGGGCAGATGGCAGGAGGCTGCTTACCAAAGACAAACATGCTGCTCCCGTAGACAACAGCTGAGTGGTGGTAGCGGGGGGCTGGTGGGGTGCCAGTGGTAAAGGCCCTGGGGTAGGCATAGGGTAGTTCATGTCAGCAGAGGTCAGCTAGAAAGTCCACATCCCCACACAATAGCCCCTGCCATCCTCACGTCTCCCTCCTCCCCTTTTTGGAGGACTAAACCTTTGCTAGCCAAGTGTTCTACCACTGAGCTATGTCCCCAGACCTTTTTATCTTATTCTGAGATAGGGTCTTGCTAAGTTTCCCAGGATGGGGTTGAACTTGCGATCCTCCTCCCAGCTTCCCTAGTGTCTGCGATTATAGGTATATGCCACTGCACCATGCTCATATTATTATTTTTTGAGACAGGGTCTTGCTATGCTGCCCAGCCTGGCCTTGAACTAGTGAGTTCAAGTGATTCTCCCTCCTCGGCCTGCTGACTTCAGGGATTTCAGGTGCACGCCATGGTATCCAGCTTCTTTTTATTATTTCAGAGGTGACCTCTCTCCTTATAGAAACTTTAAAAACATTACCAATAAGGAGAAAACAAAACAAGAAGCACTAAAAATTTTTATTTCGCTGCCAACAAAACCACTGTGAACACCTGGAGGTCCTCCCTCCACACCTCTTAGGCATATCTATGCTGCTGGGAAATGTTTTATAATGGAATTGAAATAGTGAGGTGTGGTGAGGCAAACCTGTAATCCTAGCACTCAGAAGGCTGAGGCAGGAGGATTGCCATTTGAGGCTGGCCTGGACTACATAATGAGTTCAAGACCAGCCTGGGCTACACAGCAGGACTCTGTCTCAAAAAAAAAAAAGGAGGAGGAGGAGGAAAGAAAGAAAGAAAGAAAAAAGAAAGAAAGAGAAAGAAAGAAAGAGAGAGAGAGAAAGAAAGGAAGGAAGGAAGGAAGGAAGGAAGGAAGGAAGGAAGGAAGGGAATCATGTGGTGGATATTTTGTAATTTGCTTTTTCAACCAAATAATTTCACTAGGAGGTCCTCAAACCACTCTAAGATCATCTCTGTGTAGGATAATTCTCAGCATCTGGGCAGTATTCTGTAGCATGGGGTGTCTACATTTTACTTACTAAATTAAAAACCCATTTACACCTCTTACCACAGAGCTGCTCATCTCTAGGGCTTTTTGTTGTTGTGTGTTTGTTTTGGTTTCTTGAGACAGGCTTTCTCGATGTAGCCCAGGCTGGCCTCAAACTCATTCTGTCTCAGACTTTGAATTGCTGGAATTATAGATATGCACCTCTACACCCAGTCCAAGTTTAATGCTTGAGTAAAAGGGGTTTTTTTCAGTACTGGAGATTGAACCCAGGGCCTGGTATATGCTATGAAAGCACTCTACCACTAAGCTACATCCCTCAGCTCTTTCAAAACATTTCATTTGGAAGGGCCAGGCATTAGCTCAGTGGCACCATGCCTGCCTCAAAAGCATAAGGTCCTGAGTTCGATCCCTAGTACTGCAATAAATAAATAAATAAATAAATAAATAAATAAAACATTTCATTTCAAGACAAGGTCTCACTGAGTGGTCCAGGCTGGTCTTGAACTTGTGCTCCTCCTGCCTCAGCCTTCCCAGTAGCTGAGATTACAGATAGTTGCCTTACAACTGGCTATTTTAGCTTTTTTTTCCCTGGGTGAGGTAAGTACTGGGGTTGAACCCACTGCCTTTGCACTGAGCTATATTCCCACTCCTTTTGTTATTTTTTAAAATAAATTTTAGTTTATTTCATCCCATCTCCCCCTCAAGCCCTCTCCCTACATATTTTTGTTTGTTTGGGGTTTTGGGGGGTTTTTTTGGTACCGGAGATCAAACTCGGGTCCTTGGGCTTGTGCAGCAGGCAACAAAACCACTGAGCTAAATCCCTGGCCCTTGTTTGGGTTTTTTTTGGTACTGGGGAACGAACTCGGGTCCTTGTGCTTGTGCAGCAGGCAGCGAAACCATTGAGCTAAATCCCCGGCCCTCCCTATGTATTTTTATTTTGAGACAATCTCAGTAATCTCCCGAGGCCGGGCTGGAATTTGTAATCCTTCTGCCTCAGCCTCCTTGAGTGGTGGGATTACATGCATGTGTCACCACACCACACTACTTTAGCAAGTTTTGATCAAGAACTGTAGTCTTTAAAGTGACTTCTAAAATTAACCAAGGAGGGGCCAGGGATTTAGCTCAGTGGTTTCGCCGCCTGTCTCGCAAGTGCAAGGTCCAGAGTTCGATCCCTGGTACCAAAAACCAAAACAGAGCATAAAATTAACCAAGGACTTCAGATATACCTTAGATATACAGTACTTGCCTAACAGACACAAGGCACCACAAAAAAATTAAAAAATAAAAAATTAACATAGGGAACAATTAGCTGCATTATAAAACCAAGTGTGTGAGGAAATGACACCAACTTCCACAGCCATCCCAGGGCCACCAGGGCTCCTGGAAAGATGATGGATGACATCATGTGGAACTGCCCTTCCTGACTGAGGGTCCTGGGCAGTAACATGATCTCCTGAGCCCTGACACCCTCCTGTGTCGAAGAGGAATGATAAGACCCCACCCCTTCAGGGGACCAAGGGGATGGGCCACAGACCACAGTGGTCTTAGTGGGTCTGTGTTCCTATGTGAGCAGATGGTGGAGCTCAGGAAGCCCAGAATCTCCTGATCCCAGGATCTCCATCAGTCCCTCAGCTGTGATCTGCTGTGTGAGGTCATGGAGTTTACATGGGACCCACTGCCTGTGGGGGTTCTCCTGGATGGATCCCATGAGGAAAAGAGGCACTGCTACCAGGCCCTGGGCAGCAGCCAGCACCAGCAGAGTGAATTCTGGGAGAACTCATTACTAATGCCCACCCTTGCCCTATGTCAGATCCCATAGGCAGCCTCTGGCCCAGGAGAAGGACTGGTGATTGAAGGGCTCTCTGGGGCAGAATTTTGGGACCTACAACTGAACCAAACAGATCTCCTTAATTAGCAGGATTCGGAATAATCAACCATAGATGTGGCTGCAACAGAAACCTAGGAGATGGAGGAAAGCGACCAGACCCAGGGCTCCAGTTATCTCCTCCTTGATGCTTCTTCATGACTCTGTGGGCCACCTAGGCCCAGCACAGAGCCTCGGTGTCCCAGGAGAAAGGACAGGGTCGTAGAACACAGGGGCTGCCCACCTGCACCAGGAGCAATCCTTCACATCGAACCGCAGGAGGTCATTGAGCATCGTCTTCCTGAAAGGCAGCCAGAGAGAGGGTGGCAATGACCAGGTGTGCTCTGCAATGTGTTGCCATTCCAGAACTCTGGAGATGGGCACTGCATGCACCCCAGGGAGGAAACAGCAGAAAGAACCATTTTGGGCTGGCTCCCTGACACCTGGCACCTGGCTAGAGCCAGGCAACTTGCCAATGACCAAAGGGACAAGAGTGGTGACCACCAAGGAAGCTCCCTTGATATGGGATATGGGCACTGGGGCTGCCATACAAGCAAAGTCAACTGAGGGGTGGGGATGTAGCTCAGTGGTTCTGCCACCTGCCTTGCAAGCACAAGGTCCTGAGTTTGATCCCCAGTACCAAAAAAAAAATGATTCCAACAACCAAAGTCAACCTTACTGGGGTCAGGACCCAAGCATAATCACAGCCACCAGGAGCCCATTTAAAAGCTGACATGAAGACGTGAAATGGTTCAAAGGCCAGAGTTAACACTCACATGTCACCCTAGCCTCTAAAATTCCCACTTCTGCATCTCAACCTCCTTCTCTGAGGCTGCTCCATCATAATGAGGTACCAGCCCACATGTCAGGGAAGGGCCTGCTGCTTCTCACTGATCTTCCTGCTATCTCTATTGATTGCAAAAGCAATGTACAAACTGCATTAAAGACAGAATAAAATGGGAAACAAGTCCACTTGCCACTGTACTACCTTTCAGGAGTGGCATGTTACCATCTATCCCTTGCTCATGTGAAGGAAGAGAACAAACACCTGGAGCCCAGCACATGTGTCAGACCATGTCTGTGCCTGGTGCCCCTGGCCTATCTTTCTCAGTATACATCAGCAAGGTGCTCCCTGCCTACTCCATTTTACAGAGGAGGAAATGGCCTAGAAAATAAAAGGTTGTGTCTGAGATCATATAGTCTGCAAAGCTGCTGTTAGGATTAATCTTTCCCCTTCCTCATTCATTACTCCCAACTCACCTGTTCCAGGAAGCCATCTTTCTATTTAGTCTTTACAAAATTACAACTAGACTGAGAAAAATTTGTATACTGTGTTTTATTTGTTAAACAAAAGTATGGGAGGCCACTGTTTGGAGTGAACTTCTGCTCCAGGCCCCAAAAGCTCAGACCAAATCAAAGTGAAGTCATTCAAGACAAATGTCTCATACACTGAAAGTCTAAGGAAGCAAATCCCCAAATAGATCAGTTTTTCCTACAAATAGGAGAGTCCAGTCTACCCGAGTCTGTGTTAAAAGGAAATCCCCTCTGTTTTAACCCTTTGAATAAAGTAACCTAAAGTTGCCTAAGGTTAACCAATCAGCTTTTTTTTATGGCTCTGTTTCCTTCCCACCTTCCAAACCCCACTGTTTCATTTTTTTCTGTTTTGTATTGTTTTGTTTTGTGACAGGGTCTTGCTGTGTAGTCCACAGTGGCTTTGAACTTGGGGCAGTCCTCCTGCCTCAGCCTCCCAAGTGCTGGGAGGGATTACAGGCATGCACTACTAGCACACCCAGCTTCCCACTGTTGCTCTTGTCCAGAGAGCTCTCATTCTAATCTGTAGAATGGAGGCTGCCCCAATACATGAATCTTTTGATACACTGTAGCAAAACCATTTCTGTCATACAAACTACCTGTTACAAAATGCATCTGAGGACAGAGGTCCCCTATCTATCACCCACTGTCCCATGCAGACACCAGTGGCTTTTCTGGTTTGGGAGATTCTCGTGAAGGCGCCAGTAAACATCTATGGGTAGACACTTCTTCCTTACCCCTCAACATTTATTGAGTTGTCTGGGTGTTGGATGCAGGAGCAAAAGGAACGTACGCCTTGCCTTGGCAGAGGAGACAGATCATAACCAGCATCTATAAGCTTCAGAAACAAGTGCAGGTGTTAAGAAGTAAGGAGGGTGGGCGGGGGAAGGCCTTACAATGCAGTGTAAGAGAGGTAGGAAGTATGGGGAGAAGAAAACAATCAATACAGACAGCTGAGCAAGAGGGCACTTGGAACAAGCCAAATGCAGCAAGGCAGCCAGTGTGGCCCAGCACAGTGAGAGGGTGGGAGGAACAGAAAAACAAAGAGAGAACAAGTATATAGGCCTCATGGACTATTATGAGGACTCGGGCTTTTATTCAGAAAGGGGGGGGATGTATCACAGGGTTATGAGCTGAGAAAGAAAGTGGTCTGACTTGCATTTGTAAATGGATCCCTCTCACTGCTTCTGGGCAGCAGGAGACTAATGAAGGAGACATGCTGGATGCCAGGGGATGATGGCCAAGGAGGCCCTTTTGCCTAGTCTGCAGGTCCTGGTATTGTTCTAAATACCCCACCACCCCTAAGTTGGCTCCCCTAGAGAGCCCTGCAGGACTGATGTGACAGTACTTTTCATGGGCTTTAAAGCAGGTTCTAGGGCTTTGGGGTGAGAGGTGGGGCTGGGATTTGTAGGCAGTTTCGGTCATGTGCAATCACTCTACCTTCAGCACAGGGAAATCAACCACAACTTAACTGGTGATAGTTCTTGCCTATCCACAGAAAACAGTCATCTCCAGGAAGGTTATTTGCTAGGAGTTTGTAGCAATGAAAGAAAACCCTCACAAAAAGTGAGAAGTGCACATAATAAATAAAACTGTGTCCTCCATACCTTTGAGCTGCAAAGGAAGCATGTGGACAAGGCCCAGAGGGTGGTGTAGGGAAAGAAAAGTGCCTAGTAGGGCAGGCAGTAAAAGTGGATATGCTTCTTTCAAGGTTGTACCCACTCACTCAAAATAAGAGGGATATTTCCATATGCTGAGTATATGCGACCCAATGAATGCTGCACTGAGTACCTTGAGGACAGGATCTCATTTAATCTTTCCCAAGACCTGGGAGGTAAGTGTAGGAGGCCTCACAAATGGGGTAACTGAGGCTTAGAGTGCTTAGCTAACATCTGGAAAGATAAAGAGTTTCACAGTCCCAGTTCAGACAATACTTCTCCCTACCTAGTCCAAACACCTTGATACACTCACCCGTTATCGCCTCCAAATACATAGATGGCATCTTTATAGGCCACCACTGTGTGCTTGCTTCGCCTAGAAAGAAAGAAGGGGTAGAAGGTGGTGAAGCCAGGCTCCAACTAGATGGCACCCAAGGAATGGGACTACACATGGGGGCTGCCACGGAAGTTCGATAACATTTGTCAGTTGACAAGATCTACGCAGACTCTTAAATTCCACCACACCTCCTGTAGGTGGGTATGCCTGAGACTATCCCGCCGCAGTTCATGGGACCCCAGCTGAAGGCTCCGAAACGCAACAGCTCTAGCATCCTGCCCAGGGTCACCCGGCTCTGGGACTCCAAAGAATTTCCTCCTTTGCCCTGGACACCACCAGCCTATTAGCAGTTCCCACACTAGGCCACTATGCCCGGGCCTCGCCCCTAGACCTCCCACCTTGGGACCTTCTCAGATCACTCCCCCACACTTCACGTCCCCTCAGGATCCCCTGAACCCCGCCGTACCGGGCACCCACGAACTCGTCGCAGGGCGGGAGGCGTCGCCAGCGATGCACTGTTTCAAAGGGCCCGAAGTTGAGCGTCAGGTACTCGACACTGTCTGAGCAGCTATGGTCAAAGTCCACGCTGGGAGCTACCTTGGAGCGCGCCCCACCTGCCAGGGCCCCGGCCCCGATCGGGGCCCCGGAGCCACCTGGCCCGGCCATCCCGGGCCCACGCCCGATTGGCCGCCCGGTCTGCAGGACTCGCGGCCACCGCCCGCGGCCGCCCCGAGGGACCACATTTCCCGGCAAGCCCTGCGCCGATGTCGAAGCACTTCCGGCCAGCGCCCCAGGTTCAGCAGCCAGCACATCCGGACAAGACTAGCGCCCCTGGCGACACCGCCGTCCAACTCTGGGCCTAGTGGCCATCTTTGCTGTAATCGTATAACATTCCGGGTAGTAGAGGGGCACGGCTTCCGCGGGCAGTAAAGCCGTCTGGACCCCAAACCATCTGGGACTGCGCTTCCTTGGCTTCTGCCAGGCTCACGCCGCCAGCCGACCCTCAACGGCCACTGCCATGGAGTCCCCGGCTCCCCCTGTAGTTGCGCGTGGGTCCCATCTGCAACATCTGCCTCTCCCAGGATCCCAGGTGGAGGGATGGCAGGCGACTCAACTATCCCCTCTTTGTTCCCACATCCCTGGCCTTCCCAGGTCTCCCCTCTCTCCTGGGTGTTCTTATTGGCTGGGAGGCAGCTTAGCATGGAACTTTTGTTCTCATTCCTAATTAATAGCAGAGCCTTTGCTTCTTCACCTGCCAAATGAGGATTCAGAAAGCTTAAGCTGCTAGAAAAGGCATGGGTCTGTTTCAGAACACAGCACCTACAGCCCTAAGTAGATGCTGGAAGATTGTCAAGCATTAGTTATATCTGACCTTTGAAGAAGCATTTCCTGTCTCAAGCCCTTTGCGTGTGTAGTCCCTTTTACCTGGAGTACTTTAGTACTTTTCCTTCAAAATCAAGATACAAAAACACTGGAGAAGCCTTCTTTTCTTTTTTTTTTTTGTTACCGGGGATTGAACTCGGGTCCTTGTGCTTGCACAGCAAGCAGCGAAACCTCCGAGCTAAATCCCTGGCCCTTCTTCAACCTTGTGGGGAAGAAGGAATCAATTTCTACCTCCTCTGTGCACTCACAGGCAAAACTTAATTGTTTGTACCTCTTTTCCCTGTGATCTATTTTTTCCCTCATGTTGTTCCCAATTATACTGGGAGTCACAGTGATTTTCAAATGTGTGCATTTTAATTTTAAAATAATGTCTAACATGTTGCAGTGTCCTCCAGGGGACCAATCCCAATAGAGGAAAAAGAGGCAGGGCCTGTCACACCGCCAGTGTCAGCTGTCAGTGGCAGCTGAGGCCTTGTGGGGTGAATATCTTGTGGAGGTAGCAGAGGCCTTTCCAGAGAGCCAGGCAGCCAAAGGCAAGCACTGGGAGAGCTCCAGTTCTGCCTTGGGGAATCCTGGGAAGTTGGATATTGGCACCTGCCCCCAGGGGTTGGCCTCTGTCCCTGGTGTCCCAGTGTGCATGCCCAAGTTCACTCCATATGAGCTCAGGATCCTTTCCCAGTGAGCCAAGACATGTCGCCAGTCCTGCAGGAATGAGAGGAGGAGCAATTAGGACAGAAGAGAGCAGGTTCCCCACTCTGGGCACCATAAACATTTGATTTTTAAAAACAAGCAGGGTGTTTGCTCTGTGTCAGATCCTGGTGCCCAGCCGGAAAATATACTTGGGCTGGCGGGGGAGAGGGGTAGATCATTGGGTAGAGGCTCTGGGCTGAGGTGTGAAAGGCTCAGAACAGAACAGGAAGGACAGAAAACACACATACTTGCTGTGTAGCATAAACAGCCTTTGTGAAGGCAAGAGAGAAAAGCAGAGAAGGCCAGGGAAAGAGAATGTCATTCATAATATTTATTCTTGGTCCTTCATTATTTCCAACTAAAGGCCTACCCCTGCCCCGTGGCTCCAGTCCCCCAGTGGCTTTTGGGGTTTCCCCAATCCCTCAGAGCTCTCTGTAAACAATTCGAGCCTCGGGGGATCTCTCAACTACCCCAACATCTCTGAGCAAGTATACCCAGGGGCATCAGTAGGTGTGTCTCCCCATTTGTTTCTGCCAGGATTAGCATGACTTCCATGAGGTATCCAGGCCTAGTGATCATCCAAGCAGTGGGCCTTGACTTCTCCCCCCAGCACTGGCCCTACCTTGGGACACACAGCCCTTTCCCTTCTGTCCCCTATGAGCACATATCACAAGTTCTCCCAGACTACAATCCATGCTCCACACTGCCCTGCAGCCCTGGAAACTTTAGATTGATGGGAATCAAGAGTGAGGAGAAGAGTGGGCCTTGGAGGACTGTGGAGTGGCTGGCTGGCATGTCAGCTTCAGCCAATCCTTCAGGGGACTTCCTCCGCCACCCAAAGCCTCCCACACCCACACTCACTCCACCTCCCGCTTCCGGATGGCACGGCCAGAGGCCAGCACCTCAGCCACCTTGGATACGATGGGATCACAGTTCATGCTAGCCACGGCAATCACCTCGTCGCCTCTGTAGAGATAGGGTAGCTGAGCCTAAAGACTGCCCATTGGCATCCTTTCTTGAAGACCCTGACACACTCCTGCCCACCTCAGGCTCAGGGAAAGATTTTGCCCAGAGCAACAGAAATGCCCTGAGCACTCAGCCCTCTGTCCCAGCACAGGCTTCAGCTTGGTAGCTCTAGCTCTCAGCAGAATTCTGGCTGGGCCTGTCTTGGCATCACCCATCTCTACTGATGTGACTTTTGTCATTGTAAAAGCAGGGCATCAACACCCACTTCAAAAAGCTATTCAGGGGCTGGGGATTTAGCTCAGTGGTCTCGCTGCCCGCTGCGCAAGCGCAAGGACCCAAGTTCGAGCCCCGGTACCAAAAAAAAAAAAAAAAAAAAAGCTATTCAGAAGATACACTGTCTCCACCAACCCCGTGCATGGCAGTTATTACTGCCACCTCCTCACCTTCCCTCCTGCCAGCTGCCTTTGCACTTGGCCCACCTTTTGGCAAAGCCCTCTCCTCAGGACCAGAGCTTTTCTGCATTGAGTCTGCCTTAATCACCAAGGTCCTATTCGCCCTCCCCCTCCCCCACACCCTGCCATTCTCACTTGGTGTAAAAAGCCACAAACTTCAGCTCCTCCAGATCCCCCTGGATGATGACGTCGTCGAAGCCTTCTCCGTAGCCTGTGGGCAAGGCAGGGGGGTGGTGCCCAGATGAGATGCAGAAGGGCTGGAAACTTCACAGGCTCCCCATGCTACGCCCTCCTAACTTCTCTCTGGACACTCTCCCTGCTTCCATATTTCTTTTAGATCATCCCTATCTGGACCCCAAATGAGTTCTTAACTGCTTCTTCCTAGTGCAATCATAGCCCTGCCCCTAAGGTCCTTCAGGACAGGCCCCCAGCCACTAAGCCCCACCCAAGTACTCCAGGCCCAGTCCCCTGAGAGGCTGTGAGTTACCTGCATAGCGCAGGCTCTTTCCAAACATGGCAGTCCACAGGTAGGGCACTGTGCTGATCTCCGCCTCCTGCGCCAGCATGTTCTGGGCCACCACGCGCCCTGTGGGACCCAGACAGTGAGAGCCCCAACCCTGGCCCTCACCACCCCCACACTGCCTACCTCATTGTTCTAGGGACCTCTGCCAGGTGTAGCTATTCCTGGACTCTCTGGAGATCCAGAGGTGCATTGTTGCTCAGCCCACAGCTCATCTATGGGATTGCTCCTCTGAAAATCTGAATGATTGTTGGGGTTGGGCAGTTCTCTGCCTCACCATTTTAGCTGTGCATACAGAGAACTAATCTGAGACATCAGATCTGAAGAGAGAGGAGAATGCAGCACAAGGGCCAGGGAAGCAGAAATGACAACCACATGCAGCGCCCCAGGAGAACTGGTGGCTTCTCAGTGCCTGTAAGGCCCCGCTAGACCCCATAATTGGATATACAGTTAAATCCTGAATCCTCCTTGTACCTCACTGAGAAGTAACTTTGGTTCTTTGCCAGCTAGCTGCAACTTTACACTAGGACAGAAATGGACTTGGACTGAAAATGGCACCAGGAGTGGGATTTCAGATCTTCAGATAATGGCCAAGGCAGAGGAAAGGAAATGTGGTAGTGTGTACGTGTGTGCGTGGTGGTGGGGGTGGTGGTGTCCCGAGCTGGGAGTCTGGTGGTCCTTTCTATGAGGTGCTGAGGCGGCTAACTTACTGTCACCAGCTGGTTAGGAGTCCATACCAGGTACAGTGGGTGAGGCTTGGGAAGCTTGGTGGCCACCAAATACAGGGAGGGAAAGCTGTTCCACAGAAAGCACAATGGTCTACCTGAGCCCAGGCTAAATAGTTGCCTCCAGGGGACTGTATGAGGCAAGTGAGTTCACAGAGACAGTCAAGTGGCTCAAGGGAAACAGAAGCACTGCATAGGAAGCTGGCCTACTAAATCCTTCTTCAGGGTGACTGCACAGGTTAATTAGGAATTCTGAGGAATCTGTCTTGTGGATAAAAGAAAAGGTGAGACTAATGGAAAAACAACTGGGATTGGGGGATTGTGCCTGGCTAAGGGGGGTATTCAGTGGGTACTAGAGAAAGGTCTCCATCTCCAGAGATGAGCCAAAGGCCTCACCATGTGCACTGGCTTGATCACCTGAATGAGGCTGACCAGACTGGCCACTACAGGGCCTTGAATGCCTAACATAGCATCCAGGATCCCAGACCAGCAATTGAGACATGGCTGGGGAAGCCTGAGACCCTAGGATATCCTCCTCTCTGAACCTGCCTTAGAGCTGGCGTACCCTGGGCATGAGCCATCTGCCAGTGTGGGATGTTCACTTTCCGGTTGTTCCTCCAGGCAAGGGGAAAGGTGACAGCATCACCAGCTGCAAACACGCCTGGGACATTGGTCTGCATCATCTGTGGGGAGAAGGCCAAGTCTCCATGGGTGGAACAGGGAGCTGACATGGACCATGAGCCACCTCCAGCCCAGCACCTTGCCTGCCCCACCCAGCCGCACCTTGTTGACAGGAATGAAGCCTCGAGAATCCAGACCAATGCCGCTCTGCCTCAGGAAACCTGTGGCGGGCACCGCACCTAACAGGACAGAAGCCACCACATCCACATCCTGGGCCTTCTGCCTCAGTGCTCTCCATGCCCTATACTCTTCACCTTCTGTACCTGCTCTACACTGTCTCCCGGCTTCCCATGCTGGGGCCTTCACACCTCCTTTTCTCTCTGTCTGGACCTCCCTCAAGTCCCATGCCTCTCCTCAAGTCTCAGGTATTGCCTCCTACAAGAAGGGCTCCATGAAGCCCCCAGGTGGGGGTCAGTGTCCCATGTCTCTCCAACCCCTGTGCAGCCACCTCCTGGCTTTGTCCTAGAACCTCAAACTGCCACTTAACTGGCGTAGGCACCAGTTAGAGGCTTGTCTGTATCCTGCAGGCCACACATGGCAGGGCAGTAGTGGGCTAAACTGGGTACACATTTCCCAATGACCCTGTAAAGTGGATATTGCTGGAGTCCCCATTTTATGTATGTGGAAACTGAGACTCTGGGAGGGGAAAAGATTAAAGCAAGGTCACTTCTGAGCATGTGCAGATGCCTCTTCTCATTTACCCACCCACTCACCAATGCCTACCACGCAGACATCAGCCCGCACAACCTTGCTGCTCTTCAGCACAACTTCCTTCAGCTGTAGAGAATGGGAGGGTGATCAGAAGGACCCAACTCCTGGGCATAAGCAGAGAGGACAGAAAGCAGCAGGGAGGGAGAGGGGCCCACCTTTCCCTCCTGGGCCCGCAGCTCTGACACCTCTGTCTGCATGTAGAACTTCACTTGGTTGTTCTCAAACATCTGTCCAGGCAGATTGGTGGATGGGCAGTGGATAAGGGACCAGCTAGGAGCTAGGCTGGACACCCCAGGATCTGAGGAGTGCTGGGGGCTGGGGCAGGCTCACCTTCATGAGGGCACGACCCACACGCTCCCCCAGGAATCTCCTGAAGGGTGTCTCTTCCAGCTCTACCACAGACACCGAATGGGCTTTCTCAGTCAGATAAGCAGCCACCTCCATCCCTGGGGTGGTGGGCAAGTGTGTCAAGGCTGATACTCTGCAACTACCAGGCCTGGCACACCCTGGGACTGGCCACAACAGCTTGATCACCAACCCCACTGCCCTCCTTGCTCACCCAGGAAGCCGGCTCCCACAATGACTGCGTTTCGGCCCCTGGCCAGCCTCACCACACGGTTGGCATCCTCGGGAGTGCGGATGGTGAACACATTCTCCACTTCTTTTCCTTTGCAACTCAGGGTTTTAGGACTGAGACAGGGTAGCATCAGTGAGGCCCTCTCATCCTAATGGCACCCCACCCAATGTCCAGGGAGGGCAGGAGACACCTTCCTACCTGCTCCCAGGGGCCAGCAATAGCTTGCTGTACTCCAGCTTGAAGCCATCCTTGAACACGACCTTCTTGTTTCTCACATCCACTGTGACCACCTGCAATCCCCACAGGGCAAAGTGTGGGCCTAGGCATGCATCTGGGCCTTGCCACCCATTTCCAGATCCTACACTATGCCCAGAGCCCAGCCAGATTTCTGAGCAGTTCCCATGGGAGCTTCCTTCTTTAAACTTCAGACATCACCTGCTCTTCAAAGCCCTATCTATGCACCCAGATGCCACCTGGCTCTCCTGTCCCAGCCCTGATGAGATTGCCTATCTCCCTACACCATGGGGCTCTGAATATATCCACAACCTTGTCAGAAGGAAGGCCCAGTGCTGCCTCCCAGAGATGGGCAGTGGGGTGGAAAGGGCAGAGCAACCCCCACACACAATCCCAAGGGCCCACATGGCTTTGCCCTTCAAGGGGCCCATTAACATTTTCCCTGGTCTGTTTCCCACCCATAAGCTCATACCTGAGCCTCAGTGAGCACCTCGATGCCATAGGCCCGGAAGAACTCCTTGGGCCTCAGGGCCAGCTGCTCAGACTGTGCATCCAGAGACTGCAGGACACAGCCAATTTGAGATAGGGCCATGCAGCCACAGTTCCATTTTACAGAAGAGGACACAGAGCCCAGGGAGGGTTAGCCCAGCCCTGGGTCAATGGGGGCTGGAGGATAGAACTCAACAAACCTGGATCTTTAAAGGGTACCACAAATGGGCCTGATACAAGCAGAAAAGGGAGTTGGCCAGACCTCCCCTCTAAGAGATGATAATCAAGGTTCCAAGTGGCCCGACAGGGACCCAGAGGGATCAGGATCCAGGCTTTTCCCTGGACTGACTGTACCCTCCCAGTTCCCCCCCTTGCCTCATCCCCCACCTTGCTAAGCTTCGGCCGGTCATAGGGGAGATGTCGGTCCAACGTACACAAGACGATCCGGTCTGAGAAGCCTTCCTGCCGCAGTGTCTCTGCACACACCAGGCCGGCAGCACCTGAAGGGAGGGGTTGTGGGCCAGGAACCACTTCTCTCCTACCCTCTAACCCCCACACTAACCCTCAGGACCCTAGCACCAACCTGCACCCACAATGAGCACATTCGTACTGCCACTGTGCCCAGCACTTGGAGAGATACACTTGGCCATCACCTTGGTCCTTCGCTGCAGCTGCAGGGCCTGAGTGGAAGGAGGGTGGAAGGCAGCCGGCAGCTGGGATGATCCCAGCAGGCTGGGTCCTGAAGCTTCGGCCAGCCTTATCCCCACCGTGCAGCCCCTTACTCTGCTCCCCCGCCACATATGCCAGGCTCCCTTCCACCACACCAACATGCCCTCCCCACCTGTGCCTGAGCCCTGAACAACTCCTTCACCTGCTTGCTGGCGCGGACATACACCTTCTCCTTCTCAATCTTCACCTGCAAGGGCAGTGTTGCTCAAGACCAGAATCTGGGCTACTCTAGCCCCTGACTCTATACTCCTAGGCTCAAGCTACACAATACTCTCAGCCCCACCTGGAACTTGTGCAGACTGTCCAGGCCTGGGAAGTCCTCCAGGTCCCCAGTACTGATGTTGAAGCAGGCACCATGCCAGGGGCAGCGTACCCGGCCTCGGGACAGCACGCCTGGAAGAGGGTGGTGCTAGGCTAAAGCCTCCAGCAGGGGCTCCTCCCCAAGGACCTGTGTGTCCCAGCACTTCCTGGTCCTCTCCACAGCCCAGGAGATCCCACTAATACATGAGGACTCTGGGACCAAGGGATGAGTCAAGTTGACCTGGGGGATGGATGGTGCCGTGGCCAAGCTCTCTCCAGGGAAGTCCTGCCCCCAGCCCCATGTGTACTCTGATATCTTACCTTTCACCAGAGGTGCTCCGTAGTGTGGGCACTTGTGGCCCAGGGCGTGAAATTCCCCATTGTCCTTCAGCAGCAACACCTTCCCCCAGCCCAGCTCCACTTCCCGCATCCTGGAGAGGGGCAGCACCCAGAGGTCAAGCTGGACAAGCCACATCAGCCTAAGATACCTCTTCCCAGAGTCCAGCCTTCTGAAGAGTAGGCCCAAACCCATAGAAACCACAAAGGGCATGACCCCTTGGCCATGCCTAGCCCCTTCCAGACCCCCTCCCTGGTTCACCTCTTCCTCTACAGCCTCTGCTGTGCCGCCCCTCCTACCCCCCACCCTCTGATCCTCCTTCCCAGCCCAGAACCCACTGGCCATTCTCTAGGTCCTTGACATGGCAGACAGCAGCCTCCACGCAGTCCTGAGGGCCAGGGTAGGAGTGAGGGGCTGGCAGGCACTCCTCGGTGTGGAAGTGGCGGGCTGTGCCATTGCCCTGGTAGGCCCGGGGGCTGCCCTTCCCACTGGCAGACAGCTCATCCTTGCCGCGCTCCTTCTCCGGCAGCACCACCTCAATCTTGAGCTCCACTGTGGGCAGGACCATGGCATGAGCCCCCAGCTTGGCCCATCTCCTCCCATCCCACAAGCTGGGGGCAGAGACCATTCCCTCTGAGCACTAGGGTGCTCAGCCCTGCCCTGCCCCCTCCCCAGAAAGCCCTCTACACCCTCTACAAAGAGGCAGAAGAAGCTGCACAATGGCACACGCTTGTAATCCCAGCGCTAAGGGAGGCTGAGACAGAATGACTGCAAAGTTCAAGTCCAGCCTGGGCAACTTAGCCAGACCCTGTCTCAAAAGAAAAAAGAAAAAGTGCTAGAGATGTAGCTTAGTACAAAGGCTCTGGGTTCAATCTCTGGTATCAAAAACAAAAACAAACAACAACAACAACAACAACAAAACATGAAAAACATGTACACAGGGCTGTTATGTAGCTCAAAGGTAGAACACTTGTATAGCATGTGCAAGGCCCTCAGCACCAAAAAAAGGAAAAAAAAAAAAAAGGACACAACATAATGTCACTTCTTAAAATAGCTATTCTTCTAAATAGCTATTCTTCTTTTTTTTTTTTTTTGGTACCGGAGATCAAACTCGGGTCCTTGTGCTTGCGGGCAGGCGGCAAAATAGCTATTCTTGCTTTGTTTTGTTTTTGGTACCAGGGATCGAACTCGGGACGTTGTGATTGCGAGGCAGACAGCCGAACCACTGAGCTAAATCCCCAGCCCCAAAATAGCTGTTCTTGAAGGGCATGGTAGCACACATGATCCTAGCACTCAGGAGGCTGAGGTAGGAAATCGCTGTGAGCTTGAGGCCAGCCTGGGATACATAATGAGACCCTGTCTCAAAGTACCTCACTCCCAAAAGAAAAATAACTATTCCCACCACTTTTGAGATTCATTCATTATTTAATGAACCTTGGTTTTTTGGTGTCTTTATGTGCAGGTGTCTGGGGTCCTATGAATGAAACCCATTCTGAGGGACCATGTGGACAGCAAAAAGGGTGCAAGGCCCCCCACAGCCTGTAGTGGGAATTGTCATTTTATCTTCCCTTCCCTCCCCCCACCCAAAGTACTAGAGATTAAGCTAGAGCCTTCTCACTGAGCTACATCTCCAGCACCCTCCTCCCCATACACACTTTTTAAAGACAAGGTCTCACTTAACTAGGCTTGACCTTGCAATCCTCCTGCCTCAGCCTCCCAGAGTGCTGGAATTACAGGCTTGCACCACTCTGCTTGGGTTGTCATTTTCTTCTTTATACTTTTCCACATTTTCCAAATTCCCTATGATGTGCCTGGGGTATTTTTCTAATTAGAAGGGAACAATAAACAATTTTAAGCAGTGATAATCCAGCTTCCCTGGCTGCTGCAGCAGAGAGGAAACTGAAGAGGGGGCAGCTAAGTCCCTGGCACAGCATGGGCCCCTGCGGTGGCAGGGGGTGCCTCTTGATTCTCAAGGCACAGGAGCCTCCAGGCCTTCACTGACTTTACCTCTCAGCCCCTCCACCTCAGACTGGATACTCTAGGAACAAAGAACCCAAGAACCTGCATGGCTGCTGAGTCACACCTCCTGGCCTCTGTCTGTGCCGTCTGCTTGGCCTGAGCTGCCATCCTTCAGGACCTTGAGCTTCTGTTAACTGCTATCCATTCACCCATACACTGCCCTGCTGTGTCCTCTCCTGGCTGCAGGGCCCCTACATGTCCCTCCTCTCATGCAGAGCTACTCCCCAACCCTGGCCAGACCCCTCCCCATCTGTGTGTCCCAGCCTCTAGCTGAGGCTAATAGTGTTATAATGGTTTTGGAAGAATTAAAAAGGAAAATACTTTGGACTCAGCTGAGATCAGCAATGAGCACTGTAGGGGCCCACAGAACAGCTTGGCGGGGTACCAGATGATGGCCAAGCCGGGCTGTTTTCATCCACCACCTCCTTCCAAAAGGTTCCAAGGCACACTGACTGATGCAATCTAACAGAAAACCATTAAGTCAGGAGCAGGAGCAGAAAGGTGGATGAAAGGGAGGGTTTTTGCTTATCCACAAACTATATCAACCCCAAGTCCTTGATTCCCAGCTGCCCATGAGACCCTACCTTAGCCCCTATGGGCCTCAAGATGCTTTAATCAAAAAAATGGAGAGAGGGCCGGGCACTTAGCTTAGTGGTTCTTCTTCCTGCCTCAAAAGTGCAAGGACCAGAGTTCAATCCCCCGTACCAAAAAAACCCAAACAAACCCAAAAACAAAATGGAGAGAGCAGGCTGGGAGTGCAGCTCAGTGCTAGGGGATGTGCAGAGAATGCCCAAGACCTTGGGTTCATTCCCAGCACTTGCTCCCCAGACCCCCGCAAAAAGGAATTGTGTCTAACTGGTGATAATGAATGTTAAAGGAGACAATATATAACCCAGAGTAGAAGCTCAGTAGATGGAATTGGGTAGTAGTGTTTTTTGGGTCATTTGTTAGTTTTGGGTGCTGGGGATTGAACCCAGGGCCTTTCACACACTAAGCACATGCTCTACTGCTAAGCCACACTCCCAACCTGGTAATAGTGTTTTATCAATTAGCTGTGAGCCTCCTGGCAGCAAAGAGGGAAAGTCATTAAGTAGCACACACACCCCCCCACACACACACCCACACACACACCCTGCTACTGGTACTGGGGATTGAACCCAGGGCCTTTGCACTGAGCTACATCTCTTTTTTATTCAGTCTTTTTAAATTTTATATTCTGAGAAAGGGTCTAACTAAGTCACTAAGTTGACCAGGCTTGCAATTTTCCTGCCTCAGCCTCCCAGAGTGCTGGTATTACTGGTAATCACACCATTTTATACATGCAAACATGAGGATTAGAGAGGTGTGATCACCTGCCTTAGGCCATACAGCCAGGAAGGAGCAGAGCTGGATTCAGGCCTAAAGTTCTTAGCACTGCCTTTTTCGTGATAGGAATGGCTAACCGCACAGCAGAAGTCCTGGGGCTGGGTGTTTCAAGGCAGATCAGTCTTTTGGGTCCTTTAAAAGAACCAGCATGTGGCATTTCTGCCCAGGTCCTCCTGACAGCTCAGCAGTCCCATAGGCACCCAGTATGGGGCCAGCTAGCACCCTCCTGTCCACTCTGAGAGGGGAAGGCTAGGGCCAAGACAATAGACTTCCTTTGCCCAATCCATACTTTGAAGCAGGAAGGGTGGTGGGATCTAGCTCAGACCTGGGTACCCATGGCGAAGCCATGGAGGGAGGGAGCACAGTTTCTATGGGCAAGTGCAGGTGGATCCCCTGCATCACAGCTCTCCTCCCTTCCTCAAGTCTCAGGCCCAGGAAAAGGAGAAAAGGTTCACAAGTTCCAAGGTAATGGAGCCCATGGGTATCAGGTAAGGGGAGCCGGGGCAAGCTGGCCAGGCCAAGGTGGCCTGGGTAGGGGTGAGTGGAGCACAGGCTAGGTTCTGGAAGCCTCTCTGGGCCTCAATTTCTCCATCTGTAACATGGCTATACACCTTCCCTTCCTAGGTGCTATGAGGAGGAAGAGGAAAAGGGGCCAGAGGGAGAGCCCCATAGATATGGTTCTCTGCTGGAGACCAAAGCTGAATTCTCCCAGCATCTTGGAACGTTCCTAGGGGCTGGGGCCACTTGGGCTAGGCAGAGTACAGATTTCCTGTGCAAAACTGGAAGCATGCTCAGAGAGGCCAAGGTGGCAGTTTAAGATCTCGAAGCATATCAGAAGAGGTAAAGAAGGCAGGGACCTCCCCAGTGCACTCTCCCAGCAACTTTGACAGGGTGGGCAGGATCAATCTGCAGGGAGGGAAACTGAAGCTCACCGAGGTCACACAATAGCTGGAGGTATCTCAAGAGCTCCCTTCTACCCCTAGGGGACACAGCTCCTCCCCACAACCCTGCAACAGGAGAAATCCTCTCCTCTTCCCAAGAAGGAGCCAGCTGTTATTTCCACTACCAGCACCCAAAGCTTCAAATAAAGAGGGTCACCCACTGGAGGGGAACTGGGAGGACTTCTCCAGGTCCTCCTACCCTCCTCTGGCCAGCAGCGCATTAACATTCCGGGCTCCTGTCTAGCCTGACCTACTTCAGAGGCTGGCAGAGTGCAGAGGGGGTGGGGAGGAAGGTAATGGAGGAGGGAGGCAGAGAGGGAGGGCAGAGGCAGTAAGAGAGGAGGAGGTACCTGGCTTGGGCTTGGAGAAGCAGCCCCCCATGGCGAGTGTCCTGAGGACAGGCAGGCAAACAGAACACAGATGGTTGGGCTGTTGGAGGCCTAGGGTGCCTCCCACGGGGCTGGATCCCCTGCGACCCTTACAGTGGCCATCCCAGCTGGAGCTGCCTCTAGGACCTGCAGGGGAAACTGGGAGCATCAGGACAAGGCTTTGATGGAGTTTTCGGGTAGGAACGCTGAGAGGCAGAGATAGGCTATGGGGGTTTCTGGGAGAGACCTACAGTGGAGCTGTAACTGTTGCATGCAGGGGACCCTGGAAAGCACATCATCCTTGTGGCCCTCCTGGCTCAGCGCCCCAGGCTCCTTCTTAGCTTTGCATGGGATAAGGGGATCCCAGTGTTGACCACCCCTATCCACTCCCACAGCTGCCTTATCCTAGTCCTCCCTGAGCTCTGCTACTCCCTCAAGTCCCTAGCCCTCCACTTCCCCTCTCCCAACCCGAAAGCCTGGGAGAGAGCTCTGAGTCCCTCCTCTCTTTCTTTCTTTCTTTCTTTCTTTCTTTCTTTCTTTCTTTCTTTCTTTCTTTCTTTCTTCCTTCCTTCCTTCCTTCCTTCCTTCCTTCCTTCCTTCCTCCCTCCCTCCCTCCCTCTCTCTGTCTCTCTCTCTCTCTCTCTTTCTTTCTTTTGGTATCAGGTTTGGACTTGGGACCTTTCACTTGTGCATCGGAACCACTGAGCTAAATCCCTGGCCCCATTCTCTCCATTTTCTCAGGAGGCCACTGTGCTTGGGTTAAAACCCAGGTCAGTATGGGCAAGCCAGAGCTTGCCTGGCCCTTGGGTTTCTTTCCTACAATGGCTGGGACATGGGGTTCTCCCTGGTCTCAGCCTCCACCCTGGCGGATGGCCCCTGGACACCCACCTCCTCCGAGGACAGCCACTGCTCCTTGCTCACAGTCCAGCTGTGGACAGAGGCTGCCTGGCCTTGGAGGCAGGGCTGAGAGGCAGGGGTCCAGGAGGCGGCTCAGCCTCCGCTCCTCCTCCTAGTGCAAGCTGTGGCAACAACGAGGGGTTGGGGGTGGGGTGTGTGGGGCCAGGCCAGTCCACTGGTCCCCAGGGAAACCCAGCTCCTCGGTGAACAAGAGCAGGCGGCAAGCCTGGCGCCGATGGGGTTGTCGGGGAGAGAAGCCAGGCACACGGCCTTGCCACAGCCTGTGCCCAGCAGCCACGCCCCAGCCTCCCACCCTGGCCTGGTGGTGCTGAGGTCATGCTGAGGTGCAGACAGAACAACCGAGGGGCCAAGGTCTCATCAAGGTCAAGCAGCAGACAGGGGTATCCAAGTGATTTCCCACTTTCCTCTTCAGTTCTAAGATGGGCAGGGCCCCAGGAGGCACCCTATCACCCTAAGGCCCTACAAGGCACCTGCTGGGGGATGGGACACCTGGTCAGTGAAAAGATACTGCAGCCAAGGTGTTTCAAGGACACAGGGTGGGCCTTCTGGGACATGCAGCTTACAGGTGGACTTTGGAAGGCCTTGGACAAAAGTGTAGCTACTTTGTTTACAACTGATCTCTCCACAGTCCACCCCACTGTCATCTGCCTGTTTCCCTTGGAATTTCTTCCTAAAGTCTAATTCGAGGTGGCCTGAGGCCCATTTGGTTCAGCCCAGGTCCCAGGAATGGCAGGAGACAGGTGCTGAAGAGCCAGGGGGATGAGGAGGAAGGACAAGGGTTGGGAAGGCCCACCCACAGCCTGGCCCCTGATCTTACCTGGCCAAGAGGCACATGTTACAGCTCAGCAGGCACCCAAAGCCATTTGGTTGTGCCTTTGCTCTTCCCCCATTTGTTACCAAAGCATGTCTATAAAACTCAGGGGCCGCCTGTCCCCTCCCCAGTCACTAGGGAGCTCCTCACCGGGTCCTGGCTTCAGCTGTTGCTCAGTCCTACCCTCCCTCTTCCTGCCTGGCCTCAGGGCTCCCCTGCTGGGCCATAGACCCCAGAAACTGCTCCCTCATATAGACCCTAACCCCCACTTCCTTCACTTCCCAGCTGCCCAGGAGAGGAAGGAGATTTGGGAGGACCACTCTTTCTACCCCTTGTGTGCCAGGCCAATTTGGGGCTCGTCACTCCAACTCAAAGGCAAAGGTCTTTCCCGGGCACTGCAGGAGGGAGCCCCAGGTTTTTTGCAGAGTGGGGTCTCTTGCTCTCAAGTGGCCCCAGTGCTGAAAAGTTCAGCAGTGCTCAATGCTAACTACTAGCCAGGGACCAGTGTCCTCTCCCAGGGACCCCAACAATCTGAGAGGCAGGTACTGAATTATCCCCACTTCACAGAGATGCGACCACTTTTCTTCCAGGACTCCTAGAGCCCCAGGAACCTCTACCTCTCCCCAACCAGTTCTCCCCTCCCTGGTCCCATTTTTTGTCCCGGAGGGTTTCCCCCCCCTCCCCCGCCCCCCGGGCACTCAGTGGCTTCCAGGGATCCTGAGGATGGCGTCTGAGCTTCTCGCCCCGGAATGCAAGTTTGGGGGGCTGCGCTGCCAACCCTCCCGCGGAGCTCTGGCACCAGCCTCTGTCCACTCTTCCTGCCTTTTGCACGTGTGGCTTCCTCGGTCAGGGAACCGGCTAGTCCTGGTGCCCCCGGCAGACCTGGACTGGCAGCAGGAGGGCTCCGCAGGAAGCCCGGAGGAAGGGTCAGCGGGAGGGGGTCTGCAAGGAGGGGTGCCTCAGCCCCTCCCCCTCGCCTGTCTCTTTGGCCGGGGCTGACGACCACTAGCCCCCCACTCACGGGCCAGGGGTCTGAGATCCAAGAGCGCGCGCGCTGACCCCGGGCGCTGGAGCGACGTGGCCCGAGCGAGCGGCAGAGTAGGAGCCAGGGTCCCAGGGCCGGGGTCCCCGGGGTGGGCGCTCACCTGGGCTCCGCGCGGGCCTGGGCTCTGAAACCGCTCGGGCCGCGGGCGCTGGGGGCGGGGCCGGCCCTGGGGCTACACTGCGGCCGGCCTGAGAGCCCGGGCGCCCAGAACCTGCCAGCCGGCCGGGCAGGTCGGGGGCGGGGGGGGGGGGTTAGGGGTCAGACTGGGGACCTCGGCGTCGAGATCAGAGTCGCTGCACCTGAGGAGACTGCCCTTCTGGATATGGACTCCCGGGCCGGGTCTGGGTCCTCAAGGATCCCTGAGACCCCCGAGGGACTCCAAGCTGGGCCACGTGCGGGTGGGTCTGTGTCTCCAAACTATTCCCGGGCTGCGCAGGGGAAGTTGAATCTCTGCGTGAAACCTCTCCAAGAAAGAAAATCTAAATCGCGCCCGCCCTTGGACCCCTCACAGTCCTGCTTGAGTTCACTGTCCCTGTTCACCTAGCTCCACCCCCCAACTCTCTCCCCACACATGCCAAGGTCTTTTAAAAATTCTATTTTCTTTTTCTCACCCGTCATTATCCCAGGAGAACTCCTTGGATCTCTGCAAATCATAATGTCGTGCTCCTTCGTCCAGGAAGCCCTCCCTGACTAACCTCTCCTTACCCTGTAGGCTGTTTCATTGTCCAGACTAGGCCCATCTCCTCTGATCTATCTCTGTGCAGTAACTATGAGGGAAATGAAAGAATTACTCACAACCAAGGGAATGATGTTACATCTATCACCAAGCGCAGCCACGGCCCGCCAACTCTGTTGGTGGTGGGAGGGAGCAAGCACTGCCCTCCTGCACCTCCCAGTTCTCTACAGATGGGAGGGAGGCTCCACCACGGTCTGTGTGGGTCACATCCAGGGCAGCCGGGGTGGGACCTAGCATGGAAGGTACATGCAACTCAGGTCAGTCCTCTATGACTGCCTGTTGTTGCTGCGCTTGACTGTTGCCGCCACATTGGCGAGGCCTCATCGCTGAGCGGGTGACTGCCAAAGCCTGATGCCCTCCGCCTCCAACAAGCCAGCTTTTGCTTCACCACATGCTGCTACCGCACCCGCCTCCACAGCCCCACTCAGTGCAGAAACACCCATAAATAACCGTGGCCCTGCCTTCACACACATTTATTCTTTTATTCTTTGCAATAGCTTTTTGGGTATCCATTTTACAGATGAGTAAACTGAGGTTCTGAGAGGCCAGGCACAGTGGGACTTGAATCCTGGCTTGAATCCACAGCTGGCTTGGCTGTGCTGGGGTATGAGGTGGAGATGTGGGAATATGAGGGAGAGACCTGTCAGGTTCAGTGAAGGCCACAGGGTCTCCAATCTGGAGTGAAAGTTCTGCTCTGTGAACCTGGCAGTCAGTGAATCCCTCTGTCCCAGCTTCCCCAGGACACATGGAGGTGACTGCAGTGCCCACCCTCCAGGACGGCTAACAGGACACTCTGACAAGGCAGAGGCAGGCAAAGGACATTGGGGATACTCAGGAAGTGCAGTGGGAGCTGTTGAGTTTGGGGTACTAGAGATGAAACTGGAGAGACAGGTCAGTGTGGGGGCTATGAGCAGGTCACCATCCTGGGGAGACTCCTTGATGTGGGACCATCAAAGTACCATTGGTCCTGGGGATTGGGCTCGAGCTTCCTGTTGCCCTACAGCGCAAAAGCAGCAAGATCATCATAAAACGCACTGCCTGCCTCGAAAGTGCAAGGTCCCGAGTTCGATCCCCAGTACCAAAAATAGAGATCATCATAAAACAAAAGCTAAACCCAAAGGCAGGCTAGGAAAATTGCCCCATAAAGGGGCCTCATGCTTCAGGATGACATATGTGGTCAAGGGAACCCAGGAGGACTCAGAAGGGCTCTGTCTCCTGGATGGCCTGAGGTCCTGATCTTGCCCTGGGGATAATTCTGCAACTATGATAGGATCTGGCAGCCTTAACAGTGTTAAATGCAGTGAGTTTTCATACTGTGGTTGAATGCCCCTCCCCAGACCCAGTGGAGACCCCAAAGGAAGGGTGAGATTTGCTGAGGCTGGAGAAATAGTGAGTGTGAAGAGGATCAGCCTACAGCCTGGGAGAGGAGCTGATCCCTAGGGATCCCCAGCCTGCGCACAACACTATTTTACAGCAAGCTTTCCCCTGTGCTCCCTACGTCCACTGCCTTCTGTCATTTTCCTCTGTGCAGGATCTCCAAACTAGAGCATGGAGGATGGTCCTTTTTAGGTTTAAAAAACAAGACAAAACAAAACCAACCAAACAACAAAAAAAACTAGCTCTGGGGAAGGTGGCACGTAACTGTTATCCTAGCACTCTAGGAAGCAGAGGCAGGGAGAATCCAAATTAGCAAGACCTTGTCTCAAAATAAAAAATAAAAAAGTGTTGTGGCTGGGTGTGGTGCCTCATGCCTATAATCCCAGCAGTTGGGAGGCTGAGGCAGGAGGATCTCTGTGAGTTTGAGACCAGCCTGGGCTACACAGTTTAAGGCCACCCCAAACTACAAAGCAAGACCCTGTCTCAAGCAAGCAAGCAAGCAAGCAATAACAACAACAAAAATAATATGAAACAAACAAATAAATAGTGTTGTGTATATAGCTCAGTGTGAAGGCCTGGGTTCAATTTCTGGTACTAAAAAAAAAGAAAGAAAGAAAAGAAAAAGAAAAACAAGCAAGCTGAGAGAGCTGGCATCAGGCTAGATGATGCACACCTGTAATTCCAGTACTCAGAAGGCTGAGGCAGGAGGATCTGAGGTTTGAGACCAGCCTGGACTGCACAGGAAACCCTGTCTCAAAAAAAAAAAGGTAGATTTTAATACAGAATATTGGGGTTGACACTGGCACCCCCTAGGGTCAGCAGGGTCCTCTTTTGGGCTTTGGGGTTCTGGTTCAATGCAAAACTGGAGGCTGAAGTAGATTTCTAGGTAGGCAGAAATCTGTCCAGCAGATCCCCAAGAAATGTTGAGGAGTTGATACAGCATAACCACCATCTGAGCTGTGTTGAATGGTACCCACAGCTGCACATAATCCTAGCTACTCACATGGACAATTTAGTAAGAATTCATTAAAAAGGAAAAAGAAAAAGAGCGCCGGGATTTAGCTCAGTGGTTCTGCCGCCTGCCTTACAAGCACAACGTCCCGAGTTTGACCCCTGGTACCAAAAAAAAAAAAAAAAAAAAAAGGATGTGAGGGCGATCTGGCTGTGACATCTATCATCCTATTGATGGGCGGGGTTGATTGGGCTGATCTGGCTGGCTAGGTAGGTGGCCCCTTCCTCTCTCACTGCTCCATGTGCACCCCTTGTGAAGCTGTGCACTGGATCAAACAGGACAACCACTCCCAATAGAGGAGGACCACTTCCTCCAAACAAGTTCTCAAAGACAAACGAGCAAACAAACAAACAAACAAACAGGGTAAGGACATAGCTTAGTGTTCAACCCCTGGTACCAAGAAAATAAAATAAATAAACAAATGAAAAACAAAAGAGTTGGGGATGTAGATCAGTGGGACAGAGTTTGTCTAGACCCTGGTTCAAACTCTAGTATCACCTTTAAATACAACAACAAAAAAGACTGGGAGCTGGGGTGGTGGTTCATGTGAATACCCGGACTTTAGTGAGAGCCTGTCACAAAAACAAAAACCCAAACATAAACAATCTCTATGCTGTCAGTGCTAGATAGGCTAGTATAAGCTGCCTCAGCCAAATGGTAAAATATTCTTGTTCTCGCATGAAAAGGTGTATACAGAGGGTTTGTAATAGCATTATACAGATTTTTCTTTTCTTTTTTTTTAAACACTACTGTATTTTTTTTTTTTTGTACTGGGGATTGAACTCGGGTCCTTGCGCTTGTGAGGCAGGCGATGAAACCACTGGGCTAAATCCCCGGCCCTACTGTATTATTTTTTTGAGACAGGGTTTGGCTAAGTCACTAAATCACCCAGGCTGGGCTTGAATTTTCTATCCATCTGCTTCAGTCTCCAGAGTGCTGAGGTTATAGCATGCCCCACTGTGCCTGGCTTAAATATTTTCTTATATACGGCTCTCAAAAGTATAAATTGAGGGGCCGGGGATTTAGCTCAGTGGTTTTGATGCCTGCTGTGCAAGTGCAAGGACCCGAGTTCGATCTCTGGTACCAAAAAAAAAAAAAAAAAGTATAAATTGAGTCAATACCTACACAGGGCAATTTGACAACAGTTCTCAAAATTATAACTGCCCAGAGCGCTGATTCAGAAACTACATTCTGGAGAACTCATTTTAATGTGCCTGAGTGGGAAGGAACTAAATATTCATCCATACTGGATCATTAAATGAGTAACAGTACATTCACCCCATGGAATACTATATAGCACTGAAAAGAAACACAGATGATATGAGGTACATAACAATCTCTAAAATTGATTGGGAGAATAAAGCAAGGTCTATGCTACCTGTATATAGAGAAAAAATTGGATGCATACCTATAATCTCAGCACTCTGGGAGGCTGAGGGAGGAGGATCAAAATTTGAACCCAGTCTGTTCAACTTAGAAAATTGGGTTGGGGATGTAGCTCAGTGGGAAGGCCATGGGGAGAGGGAGGAAGGGGGGTTACTATGTATACAGATGTATCCACTTGTATGTAATGAATAACAGAAAAACTCTGGAAAGATACAATAAACTAGGAAAGGTAACTCTGGGGAGTGTAACCAAGAGGGTAGAAAGAGGCCTTTCATCTTTTGTGTGTGTGTGCGTGTGTGTGCGTGTGTGTGCGTGTGTGTGTGTGTGCGCGCGCCCGCGCGCCCGCGCGCGTGCCTATGAGTCTGGCTATGTTGCTCAGGCTGGTCCCAAATTCCTGGGCTCAAGCCCTTCTCCTGCCTCAGTTTTCCAGTAGTTGGAACTTCAGGCCCATATGACTGCCCTGGCTTCCATCTTTTCAATATTACATCCTTTGGATATTTTCCCTCCATCTCTGATACCTCAGTGAAATTCCTCAAATTCCTTGGGGGGGGTCTTTGAGCTCAAGTGGGCCGTGAACTGCCATCCAGGGAGGGCTGGCACCAGGGTCTGTGTCCCTCTCTTCGCAGCTCTGTCCAGGGCCCTGCTCCTCTTGGTGCCCACCCTGGAAGAAGGCGAACATCCACACCTTCCTTCTGGGACTTGGTCCCTGGGCAGCTCCCAGCACTCACCCAAAGGACTTCCCCGGACCGGTCCTCCCTTTTTGGACCTCTGAGGCTGAACAGCAGGTTCCAGGGCGCTCCCTGGCTTCGAGGCCGGGGTCGTCCTTGGGCTTGCACTCTAGCCAGCCCCTCCACGCCTCTCCCCCGCAGCCCATTTGGACCCAGCTCTTCTTGGCGCACAGAGCTCCAGCTCCAGCGCCCTCTCCCGGGAGGAAGGGCGTAGGTCACTTGGAGCCTAGACGAACGCGGTGGCCTTAGGAAGCGCCCTAGGAGGGCAGCGCCACGGTCCCTCCTCCCTCCCCTGCTCCGCCCCGCCCTCGGCCCTGTGGCCTGTGGGCCCCGGAGCCCAGCAGGAACAGAAGCGACCCCCTCCCCGCGGACTCTGGGAGCCATGGGCCGTGAGGAAGGGCGGGAAATGTGGCTGAGCCCTTTCTCGAGTCTCCGGCGGCGCGGACAGTGCTACCAGGACAGCGGGGTGCGCCTCCACCTCCTCCCCGGGCGGATCCGGATCGCTCCCGTCTCCACACCCAACCTGGGCCTCGGTCTTCCCTTCGCAGCACCCCTTTCCCGGGCGATGTCACCTTCCCGGGCGGGGACCGACTGTAGCAGCAGGCTGGAGCGCGAGCAAAGGGCGCCCAGGTAGTTGTAGGAGACCGAGGCAGCGCAGGGGTGGCTCAGGCCCAGGGGTGAGGCCGCGGAGCTTGTGAGCAGGGCTCTCGGGACTAGGGCCTTGACGCGGTGGCCCCCAGCTTCGGCTGCGAGAGGCCCCGCAGCTCTCCTCCCGAGGTAAAAGGGAGGGGTAAACAGTGCCCCCACAGGAAGTGTGAACCCCGCGCAGGACCCAGGTCCAGCCGCGGGCCTACTCCTCTCACTGGACCGTCTGAGCCCCGCGGACTCCAGCCTTGCTCAGATATCGCGCGGCATAGGCAGACCCCGGCCTCTTGGTCGAGGGCTTGCACGAGCCGGAGCTGCACGGAGCGCATGGGTTCAACTGCCGTGGCTCTCAAACTTCGCTACAAACTGTTACAAATTTCAAGGGCTGGGGATGTAGCTCAGTGGCGCCGCGCCTGCCAAGTGCAAGGTCCTGAGTTCAATTCCCGTCACAGAGAAGAAAAAAACAAACAGGGCTGGGGATTTAGCTCAGTGGCACCGTGGCTGCCTTGAAAGGTCCTGAGTTCAATCCCCGGTACCGGAAAAACAAAGATTATACTAGGAATAAAGCGTGATAATATTTAAAAACAAAAACCAAAACTCCAGCATTGGCGGTGCTTGGTGGCGGGCACCTATGATCTAGCACTCTGGATAGCTGAGGCAAGAGGATCACAACTTTGAGCACAGTCTGGGGAAGTTATTTAGTTTCTTGAGACAGGGTCTCGCTATGTGGCTCAGGCTGGCTTTGAACTCACTATATAGTGCAGGCTGGCCTCGAACTCACAGCAATCCTCCTGCTTCAGTTTTCTAAGTGCTGGGATTGCAGGTGTGCACCACCACGCCCAGCTAGTCTGGGCAATTTAGCAAGACACTGTCTCAAAAAATAATGCCCCCCCCCTTTCCGGTACCAGGGATCAAACTCAGGACCTTGTATTTGCCAGGCAAGCACGGTGCTGCTGAGCTACATCCCCAGCCCTTCGAAAAACAATCTTTAAAAAAGGACTGGAGATACAATGTGAAGGCCCTGGGTTTAATCCCCAAGATGGGGACATGGGAGATCCAGGGCTTGGACCCCATGAAATCAGAACCTGGGGAGCACCCCAGGGCTTCAATGTGCAGCGCTGGGTGGAGTGCCAATGGTGTTAAGAGGATTGGAGGCGACCTAGACTACTGATTCAGCAGGGGAAGGCGCCGCTAAGAGAAAACTCTAGCCAAGCAAGCTGGGAGGCTGAGGCAGAAAGACAACAAATTCCAGCTGGGTAACGCAGTGACTCATTGAGACCCTTTCTCAAAACAGAACAACGAAGGGCTGAGGATGTGGGTCAGTGCAAAGACCCTGGGTTCAATTCTCCAGTACTAGGGGCCAAGGGTCAGGAAATTTGAGTCTCCCTCAGCTGGGATGGCTCCCCCACCAGGTTTCCAGTTCTGATCTTCAGCGCAGCCAGGAAGTCTTCCTGAACCTGCCTGGAAGCTCAAGGGAGCTCTCAGCATCTCTGAACCCCCAGCTTGCCAGGGTAGGGCCAGGAAACAGAGCAGTCCTCTTGGTGCTAAGCATCAGCGTGTGGGCAGAAGACTGTAACAACAGGCTCAGAATGGATGTACCTTGAGACCATACTGTTAAGTGAAATCTGACGCACAAGGCTAAATGTTGCATGGTCATATGAGAAACCCAAAGTATAAAGAGCAAAAGAAAATAGGAAACAGAGAGATCTTTTGCAAATGGGAAGGGGTCCAAGAGATGGAGGAAGGGGAGGGGATATAAAAAGAATTAAGCTATGTTATGGCTGGGCATGGTGGGCAATGCTTGTAGTTCCAGCACTTGGTAGGCCAAGGCAGGACTACTGAGTTCAAGGCCAGCCCCACCTACACAGGGAGACCCAGTCTGAATTCTCCTCTCAATGTGTTATGTACATATACCAACTCCCCACAATGAGTGTAATCATGTATTACAAAAATGTACAAATTAAAAAAAGACCAGAGTCAGGTCATAATAGCAAGCTGGGGGTGGTGATGGTGTCAGTTTTAGGAGAGCCTCCCAGAACACAGACCTGAGGAGCCAGTTGGGGGTGGTCATATTTGCAGAGGTTGCTGGACCTGGTTACTGGTCTCTGAGATCAGACTGCTTCCTAATCCAGTAGGGAGGTAGGAGGAGGGAATGCTTGCACAGGGTCCCAAAGGTCACCAGACCACAGACAGATCCAACCTTGTTGATGAACACATACCTTTTCAGACAAGATCGGGTGCGTTCAGGGTGGTATGGCTGTAGACAGAACACATGCCTTTTCAAAGTGAAGGTATTCTTCACAGATGTCTCCAGATATAATTTCTTCCAGAATTTAATTTTTCCAGTTAAGACTAACATATCTCAAATTTAGCAGAATTCTCCAAGTAAAAGGCAGAGACTACATTTTAGTAGTGCTATTCTATGTATTGTATGAGAGCCAGGGATGGTGGTTTGTCAATAATCCTAGCTACTCAGGAGACTGAGGTGGGAAAATCCCCCCCCCCGCCCCCGCTTTTTTGGCACCAGGGATCGAATTCAGGACCTTGCCCTTGCAAAGGAGGCAGTGGCACCACTGAGCTAAGTCCCTGGCTCCTAGGAAAATCCCATTTGAGGCCAGCTTGAACAAGTAACTTGGGAAGACCTTGTCTCAAAATAAGATTTAAAAAGGGAGGTGGTGAGTTGACTGGGGAAGTAGCTCAGTGATAGTTACCACTCTCAAGACCCCAGGTCCCATCCTCAGTACTAGGGAGAAAATGCAAAGGTTATTCAAGTTTTTACCATAAAAATTGGGAGTTCTCCACACGCACATAAACGGGCATGGAATAGCACAAAGATAAACTATGCTCTGAGGTGGGGAGTTGGGGGCACAGAGATGAAGGACAGGGGCCTGGCTGAAGGAGTATATGAGGCCTTTGGCAGGCCTACCAACACAAGTGTCCTCTGATGCTTCCCCCAAAGCTCATCAGAAGGGTCACCAATTGAAAGAAACAGAAAAAGATTTAAGACAGGTGTGGTGGTACAGGTCCATAATCCCAGGACACTGGGAGGTTGAGGCAGGAGGATTCCAAATTCAAGCCCAGCCTGGGCAATGTAGTGACTTAGGGAGACTCTATGTTAAAAGAAACATTAACAAAAGGTATTTAAGAAAGGCAATTTAGGTAATGTCCAACTTGGAACCTGGCTGTTTTCCATGACTCGACTTGGAACAATTCCACTTAGCTCACGGTCAGCAAATACTTAGACGCCTTCATACATGGATGCTTAGAAGGAAAAATGCCCAATTTCTCCATGGTAGTTCAATATGTGAGAAGAACTGCCCCATATTCAGAAGACTAAGACCCAGCAACAAGATCTTGCTGGGAGCAGATTCTTTCTCTTTTGGAAGGAGGCCCCAAATGTCGGAGTTTGGCAAAAGGTGCTCTTGGGGAGCAGCAGCAGCACGGGTGGGTCTCTGAGAAGCACCAGGAGTTTCACCATTGCTTTTACTGCTGGGGAGGTTGGCGGGGGCTAAGGATAAACTGAAACACTGAAGCCGCCACTGCCACCACCGGCTGATGCAAGTTTTATTGAGACAATGTACAAACAGGCCATGGAAACAAGGGTTTGATGCTGGGACCAGTAACGTAAAATAGAATACAAAAATAAAAAGGCACTAATCTGTTAAGAAAAGACACTCGATGTATTCTAAGAATATAAGTCATTTAATACTGTTAATTTTATAGCACAAAATAAAACAAGCTATGATCCCCAAAAATAATTTTAAAAGCTTACACAGAAAATATTATTGCCTGAAGTTTATGATCTTTAAGTTACAGGTCAAAAGAGTTTTGACATTGTTGTTGTTTTAAAACACACAGTGAAGACCGTCTAGAAGCAAGGCCACTGTTCCTCCTTTAAGGACAACGATCTTGTCTCAGAGAACTGTCCTTCTCCTTCTTTACAACATACAAACAGTTCAGTGTTCACACTGACAGCAGTTACCGGGGACATGGCTCTTCAGTCTCAGAGGGTGGAGTTTGAGGCAGAGCTCAGTGGTGTCCACAGAAAGCGTTAGTCTTAGGTACTGTGTTAAAACAATCAAGAATTCACTCATTTTAAGAGGTTAATGAACATAATATTAAAGGATTAAATTATAAACACCTGGCACAAAACACGTCATCCCTTTTAAAAAATAAAATGTTCATATTCCTCTGAGTGAATGTCACAAGAGCAGTTGGCCATCCACCTCGGGCCTGTCTCGCCTGTAAACAGCTGTGAAGGAAGGCCAGGGGCACGAAGCTCCAAGCAGGGGCAGCAGTCCTTTCCTCCGGGTGACCAGTCATCTTAATGCAGCTGGTCAATGCACCCTCTTTGTTAAGCATGTCATTAGGTGGTACCACAAAGCGCAGAAATGACAAGGAAAATTCCTGTACTGGAGGTCTTTCCTAGGACAAGCAAGTTTTTAATCAGAATGTTGGGCCGGGGATTTAGCTCAATGGTTCCGCTGCCTGCCTCACAAGCTCAAGGACCCAAGTTCGATCCCGGATACCAAAAAAAAGAAGAATGTCAATGCCCTCTATACATAATTTGTTTCGTTTCCAGGTGAAAAACCATAGTGAGTTAATTTAACATACAAATATTTTCTACAACACAGCAGAGCAGAGCAAGTAGCAACAATGAACAATCATAAAAGATAACCTACCCCTGGGTCATATTCACACTGCTCTAGGAAGCATGAATGTCTTTCCAGACCAGCAGGGAGCCGGGTATGAAGTCGAGGCAGGGGTGCTGCTTTCCATTATTTAGTGTGAAAAAGAGAAATTTCCCTGCTTGATTAAAAAATGGATAAAGTTCTAAGTCAAAAAATTACTACTTTTGGCACATATCTTGAGAATTCAGAACTCAAGACTCAAGCTCAGAATCTCCCAGGCAGCCCTGGAGACATTTACATGGGCTGAAGTAATTCATTATGAAACCAAACTCTAGGTTTACCAGGTGTTCTGATTCTGAAGTGCTCCACAAAGGGTGGATCAGCACACCTGGTTGAAAAGAAAGCCTACTTTCCAAAATAGTTATTTACTGCTTGGACTGTGTAAGCCAACTGCTATAATCAAAAGGTGTCAAGAAGCCCTCCAACTTAATCTGGTTCAAAAAGGCCTTAGGGCCTATGCCCTCTTTGTAAAGACATGTATTTCACCTTCTGCTAGAAGGTGCAGGGCTGAACCAGGTCACTAGCCACAAGGCAAGCAGTTTCTAGGTAGAGCTTGGGGACTGTCATATGTCCACCACTTGTGGGTGTCAGGCTGAGCCTTAATGAGAACAAGCCCACTCAACAGACATTGGCAGAAAAGGCAAGTGGAAGGGACTGGCTTCATCACAGGACATGGTCACACCTTTGATTAACGAAGCATGGATCTCTATGCCTTTTTTAGGAAAACCACAAACAGGTAGCTAAGGTGTTTTTTCCAATTCATTATTATTTTGCTACAGGAATACTCTCAAGATTCTTTAAAATGGCAGTTGTCAGCCTGAGAAAATATTGAGTTATAGAGAAATTAAAAATGAAATGGAAAAATGGTTGCTTTGCTGGTTGACACCAGGATATATCACTTCAAACCTCAAAACCTCCAGTGACAGGATCACAGTTTTAGCAGATGCTTCATAAATGCTAGAATTGCTGTCTAGGTTGTTGCTACATTTCTGGGTCTGGGGTGTTCATTCTGAGCTGAGGTTTGTCTTTACCAGGGTCCAGAAGGGAGGACAAACTGAACTATATAAAGGTTCCAGAATTCTAGTCTGCCACGTGCAGATGAGGGACCAGTCATTTGTACCAGTCCTCTTTTAGCTAAGAGAAAAATGCTTTCACATTAACAAACTGATAAGCGGTTAATGTTAAATTGGTTAAGGGTTCTTCCTATTCACTACAACACTAGATCTTGAGTGCATTAACCAGTTTTCTGAGCTTGCATTTCCTTTGCTCAGGACCATGGAACCAGCATGGACAGCACCATCTTTCTCTGGCAGCTTGAGGAGGACTGGGGTGGGCTTCTGAAAGGAGATCGACTGATCCAGTTTTATGATTCATTAATGAATCTAAAACCTCAATTTTAGAAGAAACTTTAGTCCTACACCTTAAAGGGATATGTTTACTGAAAAGGTGGACAGAAAACTGGCCAAGTACTCCACCCTCCTCATTAATCCTGTCACTGGCAGAGAAGGTCGGCAAAGGTTTCCCAGTATCACTCTCCACTCTGATGCTTTTGGGACATAGTAATCCAAGAGGCTGTGTACAAAGCTTGGCACACCATGACTGCTGACTTGTTTCTTATATGGCAAAACAGGGTACAACTGGCAACCAAGACAGTAGAAGCCTCTGCCTCAGGGTTGTTCTTTTCATATTCCTTTAGTTACAGCAGCTTCAGTATACAAGCTCAGAGGCACGTAATTCCTTGGACTACCACAAAAATCCAACCTGCTACTTAAAAATCTGTTCAGGACACACAAGTGTAGTAAGTCTTCCAAAACCAAACCAAAACAAAGAAAATGCAAGAAAAGCCATATGTGGGGAAAATTTAGGACAAAATTCTCTCTTCCGTAGGGTTCCTCTGTTGTCCAAGGGAAAACAAGTTGGCGTCAGTCACTGCTGCGGAACATCAACAACGCAGGATCTTGCCGTGGCCTCAAGCTTTCTCTGACAAACATGACAGAATTGGTACCAAGTACAAACAGGGCAGTGAGGAGGAGGAAGACCCTTTCCTTGTCAACTTCTCTCCACTTGTGTGCTTCCACCACTATTTCCAGTTTATGATCCAAAAGAATTCTAAAACCAGCTACTCTTTGACAATACAACTATGATACAAACCCCAGGAGGCAGCCGTTGTGTGCATTCCAAATGTGGATGAGAGACCTCCAACCTGCAGAGAGCTGGACGTCGGCAATGCAGTGTAACTTGCCTATGAGAGAGAATGCTTTCCCACTTCAAGGAGACTATGACAGGCAGAACAACAAAGCAGCAGAAAACAGAGCAATAGCAATCACTCATTTTCATCTGGGTTTTGAGGGTCGATGATTTTGACATGCGTAAAGGGGAAAAGCCCTTTGCGCCCATTCACCTCGCCTTCCCACTGGCCATTTATATTCATCCTTGTGACTTTTACAATGTCACCAACCTGTAGAGATGGAGAAAAAAGACAAAGTTAGGAATTACTTAGGAATTGGTCTAATTTTTTTTTTTTTCTTGAGACAGGGTATCCCTATGTAGTTCAGGCTGTCCTTGAACTCACTATGTAGCCCAGGTTGGCCTCAAACTCCAGGCAATCCTCCTATCTCAACCTCTTGGGATTATAGGCATGTGCCACCACGTTCAGCTTGATCAGTTTTTTAAGGCTGTTCAATTTTCTCCCCAGTGCTTGGACCTAAAAATCATGCAGTGCCAAAGATATAATGAGCCCAGTGATCTACTCAGATAGTAAGAACGCATGCCAAAAGCAGCTTCTGAGCACAAAGCACCTCACCATTGTCTACTAACCCCAACAGGAGAGAAATGAATGCTTGACTCTCTCAATTGTTTTTTTTTTTTTGGTACCAGGGATCGAACTCGGGTCCTTGCGCTTGTGCAGCAGGTGGAGGAACCACTGAGCTAAATCCCCGGCCCTCTCAATTGTTAAAGTCAAATAATTCAAAGCATATAAAAAAATCAGAAAGAAATCTAGCTAGATGTGGTGGCACACTCTTGTAATTCCAGCACTTGGGAGACTGAAGCAGGAAGATCTGAGGGTAGTCTTGGCTACATAGTGAGATGCTGTCTCAAAAAAACAAAAACTCTATCAAAATTAAAGGAAAGGAGGAGGGGGAAGGGAGGAATAAATTTCACCCAAATGTACATGAGATGCAACTGCTGTCATTAAGGCCCTTAAACAGCAATGATGACTCCAAGTTGTCCATTCCCCATTCCCCCTGGGGAACAGTCACTGGGATAAGAAGCCCAGCTCTGAGTATTTTAAAACTGCAGGGAGGGCCAGGGATTTAGCTCAGTGGTTCCACTGCCTGCTTCGAAAGCGCAAGGACCCGAGTTTGATCCCCAGCACCAAAAAAAGGAAAAACAACAAAAAACTGCAAGGTGGTGAGAATTCTATTGCCAGAGGATAGGCAACAGTTAGAGGCTGGTCTGCTCACCAATGAAAAGCAGGAATTTTATTTTGGAAGTGGTTTTAAGGCTACAAAGCTCTAGCGAGTTGCCTTAAGGGTGTTGCCTTAAGGGTCAGTCCAACAAATTCCGATTAGAACTTCAATTAAAAAAAAAATGCATTTCATGCTGGGTGTGGTGGTGCATGCCTGTAATCCCAGCACTCATGAGGCTGAAGCAGGAGGACTGCCACAAGTTCGAGGTCAGCTTGAACTACATGGCGAGACCCTGTCTCAAAAATTAGTTTCACAGGGCTGGGGATTTAGCTCAGTGGTGCCGCCTGCCTGCCTCACAAGTGCAAGGTCCCGAGTTAAATCCCTGGTACCAAAAAAAAATAATAATAATAAGTTTCATAAAAAGCACTTTCTTTTTTGGGGGACTTTCAAATATGCTGTAGCCTCTCACGCTTTTGGTGGTTTTCATACAAATCTTCTTTGAGAAGGTTCTTTTGCAAAATGGCAAGGTAAAGGGGTTTAAATAAGAATAAATATCTGTATCAACCACTTAGAACAAAAAAAGGTCAGCAGCTGACTGGATGCTGGGACTGATACAAGATCGAATCTGTCATTCATAATGGTACAGCCATTTTGGGGGGGTTTTGTTTTGCTTTTTGAGACAAGGTCTTGGTATATAGCCCAGGCTGGCCTCAAACTCCCAGGAATCTTCCTGCCTCCACCTCCTCCCCCAGTGCTGGGATTACAGGTGTGTGCTACCATGTCCAGCTGGCCAGGAGATTTTTTTTTTTTTTTTTTTGAGGCAGGGTCTCACTTTGTAGTTCAGGCTGGCCCTGAACTCACTACATAGCCAAGGGTGGCTTCAGACAAGTGACAATCCTCCTGCCTCAGCCTTCTGAGTACTGGGATTACAGGTGTTGGCCACCATGCCCGGCAGGCCAGGAGATTTCTGATGATCACCTTACCATTAGTGACTCAGTCTGACCTTGTAAGAATTTCTCTGGGCTGGGTCCTGCTGTGAACTCAGAGGAAAGGTATGTAGTATATACCAACATAGGGAATAAGAGGAGCAGTAAGATGGCTGTAAAACTAGGATTTTAGGATCTGAGCCTGAGCACTATATAGTAGAGTATGGAAGAAACTGGTCCACAGCTAGGCCTTCAACTGTGGGCAGCAGGCAGCATAACAATTAGGACACTTCTGAGTGGCACTTTGGAGGGTAGATCAATCTTGAAGTAGTTGGGAATCAACTTCGGTTAAGGAGCTAACTAAGGCTGGAAGATGCTGCTGATATTATCAACAGACCAAGTAGAGGCACATAAGTAAGGTACTCCCTTTACAAAATTTCACCCTTTAAAACAGGACAATCCTAATCATTATTGCAATTGTCAAAATAATACTTTTGTGCTTACCACTTGGTATCTATATGTATTAATTCTAAAATCAAGCATATCAGCTGGACATGGTAGCATGCTTCTGTAGTCCTAGTACATGAGAGGCTTAGGAGGACTGCTTGTGCCCAGGAGTTCAGGGCCACCCTGGATATCAAGTGAGACCCTAGCTCAAAAGAGAAAATGAGTGAGGCAGGACTGGTGCAAGTTCAAGGCCAGCCTAAACTACATAGTGAGATCCTGTCTCCGAAAAAAAAAAAAAAACAGAAAGAAAAGAAAAAACGGTGGGGATATAGCTCAGTGGTACAGCACATGCCTGTCCTGCACAAGGCCCTGGCTTGATCCTCAGAAGACATACAAAAATAAATAAAATTAAGCACATATACTTGGGACATGGCCCCTTTCTGCCTAGTGTAGGTCATGCAAGGAGAAGGCAAGAAGGGTACTTCCTGCTACTGGAAAGTTTCCTACAGCCCTAGTCATCCAGACTGTGTCCTGGAAATAACTACTATCTGACTTCTGGCGTCCAATATAAAGATCAGTCAAGGCCTTAGAGCAATGATGGTGAACCTTTTAGAGTTTCCTTTTTTTTTTTGTGGTACTGGGAATCGAATTCAGGACCTTGCACTTGCCAGGCAGGTGAGGTGCCACTGAGCCACATCCCCACCTTTTAGATTTTTCAATGATACACGTGCCATAGGTTCACCACTACTGCCTTAGAAGGTCCAGGCACTGGTGTGTCACAGCAATTTTTGGCTTCCCTCAATCAGCCTCCATTTCTCATACAGATACTCTGAGACTACAAATTCTTGGGGTATGTAAAAGGAAGATCAGGAGTGCAAAAGTTATACCAGGTGATATGAATGGGTCTTTGAAAGTATTAAAAATTGTATATAAATGCATTAATGTATGTTGTTTTCCTATAGAAAGATCCTCAGCTTTCATTAGATTCTCAAAGGGGTTTGCACGCCTGTAATCCTAGCATTCAAGAGGCTGAGGCAGGAGGATCACCATAAAGTTTGAAGCCAGCCTGGGCTACATAGTGAGTTCAAGGCCAACTCCAGCTAAACAGTGAGACCTTGTCAAAAAAACCCCAAAAGCCAGGGCCGGGGATTTAGCTCAGTGGTTTTGCTGCCTGCTGCGCAAGCGTCAAGGACCCAAGTTTGATCCCCGGTACCAAAAAACAAACAAAAACCAAAAAAAACCCCAAACCCAAAAACAAAAAACAAACAAAAAACCCCTCAAACAACAACAAAGGGATGTATGATAACCCCAAAAAGATCTAAAACAAAACAAAGACTCATGTACTATATAAAATCACTAGGCAGATATTATTCTGGTATTTGTGACTTTTATTCATTTAGTCATTCAACAGATTTACTGAGTACCTATGTGCCAGGTCTTGAAAAGATATATTATAAAACAAACACCATAGGCCTTTATGGAGTGCTTGGGTCCACCCATTTTACCATCTGCCCATTTTCTCTGTGTACCTGTACCTGAATCAAAGCTGTCAGAGCTAGAGGCTCAGAACCTTTGTCTGTGTGCCCTGGGTAGCAGCTAAGTCTCACAACTGAATGCTATCTGACTATGATTTTTTTAATATTCAAAACCTGGGCCGGACATGGTGGTGGACACTTGTAATCTCAGCTTTTTCTTTTGCAGAAATGGAAAAACCGATGATCTTCAAACTTTTAACTTTTGAGGCAGTATTGGGGACTGAACCCAGACAGCACTGAGCTATATCCCCAATCCATTTCTTTCACTATATATATATATATATATTTTTTTTTTTTTTTTGTACCAGAGATCGAACTCAGGACCTTACACTTGGGAGGCAGGTGCTGGAACCACTGAGCTAAATCCCCTGCCCTCTTTCATTATATTTTGAGACACGGTCTTACTAAGTTGTCCAGACCTCAAATTTGTGATCCTCCTGCTTAGGCCTCCTACAGAATTGGGATTATAGGCTTGTGGCACCAGGACTGGCTTTGATCTTCAAATTCTTATGGAACTGCAAGGTATACTGATGAGTCAACAGAACCTTGAAAACAACCAAAGTCAGAAGACTCATACTTCCTGACTTCATAATTACCACATAAAGCTATAGTAATCAAAACAGTGTGGTGAAAAAAAAAATTGTGGTATCGGCATATGGAGACACACAATAATGTAATAGAACTGAGTTTAGAAATAAATGGACAGTTATAGTCAATTGATATTTGATCGCTGTGAATAAACACTCTTATCAATGAATGGTACTTGGAAAACTGGATTGCCATAGTTCAAAATAATTTGTACCATTTCATACCATGCATAAAAAATTAAAATGAATCAGTGACTTAAATATAAGAGCTAAAGCCATAAAACTTAGAAGACAACACAAGGGGTAAATCTTCTGACCTTGAATTTGGTGATGAATTCTTAGATATGATACCAAAGGCACAAGCAACAAGAAAAACAGGTAAAATGGATATAAGCAAAAAGCAGAATGTATACTAAAGAACATTATCAAGAAAATTAAAAGGTAACTTACAGAACCCCCAAAATATGTGGAAGTTATATATTTGATTCATAAGAGTTTAATAATATTTAGAATATGTAAAGAAGTCCTAAAACCCAACTAAAAAAACAAGAAA